TTCCTCCCTCCCTCCCTCCCTCCCTTCCTCCCTTCCTTCCTTCCTTCCTTCCTCCCTCGCTCCCTCCCTCCCTCTCTCCCTCCCTCCTTCTGAGACAGGGTTTCACTATACAGTTCAGGCTGGCCTTGCCAACATTATTATATTATTAGTCAGCACAGTCCTTTGCTTGAGGTAGTGAAAAGTAAATTTTTGCTTCCCTATTTCTCAGATAAATAAACTTCAGAATGGAGAAAATTGCCAGGGGTAAAAAATATTTCATAATGACAAGGGGTAATTTATTTTGAACATGTAATCCTAAGTGTGTATTTATGTGGTAACATAGGTCCTAAATATTTGAACACAGACCTCATGAAACTAAAAGAGAAAAGTGGACAAAACTATAACTGTTCAACACTTTAGCACACTTAAGTAATCAGTAAGTAGGCAGGGAAATATATGGAAGACTGGAACAGAACTGTTAGCTTGCAGTGGCCTAATTGAAATGAATAAAACATCCCAGCCAACAACTCAAAAGTGTGCATTCACTTTTTGTGTTTGTGGAACACTTTCCGAGGTAGATCTTAAATGGTCATAAAATAAATCTTAACAAATTTAAAAGGTTAAAATCATATAAAATATTTTTATCTGACCATAATAGAATTAAGCTAAAAGTCAAAGAATAACTATCCTCAAATAGTTGGAAAAGAAAAACCAGATTTCTAAATAATACTTAGTCAAAGTGAGTAAAAATGAATAACATTTTTAAACACAAATATTAATGGAATGAAATAGCAAAATTTGTGTGCAGCTAAAGCAGTACTCCAAGGTTAATTTATAGCATTGAATATATGAACATAGTGAATATGTTTCTGGAGATCAGTATTAAGTCAGTAAGCTTTTACCTTAGTAAACTAAAAAGGAATATATTAAGCCCAGAACAGTGGAAAGGAAATAAAAAGGTAATAGGAGAGTTCACTGAAACTGAAAACAGAAAAATAGAGGAAAAACCAATGAAACCAAAGCAGTAGTTCTTTGAACAGATTAAAAAATTGATCATTTTCTAGCTAGACTAATCTGGAAAACAGAAGGTACAAATAGTCATTATTTGGAATGAAGGAGTGGACATCGCTGCATACTCCAGAAACGTTAAAATTAAAGCAATAGAGTGCTACTTTACTAGATACTCAATTGGATGAATTTTAAAGTTTTAAAAAATGCACACATTTGAATAAAGTTGTTTAAGGAAATGCGGAAAATAGTGACAAAAATTTTCTATGCTTATATTACTCTGAAATATATTTTGAGAATTTATTGTTACCATTATCAGCTTTAAAATTCAACTACCATCCTTACCTTTATCCTAAATTTTAACAGAATGGGAATATACAGTTTGCTTTCTAGAAACAAACTCTTCTCTTTATATTTGTAGACAGTTTTTACATATTCTGCCAATGTTATTCATTTTATAAATTTTTTTGTTTCCAGTTTGGAACTGGAGAGTATGCTAACTGTATTGCTTTCAATTGTAGGCATCATTAAGCAAGCTGATGGAGACACTAGGTCAAGCAGAACCATATTTTGTGAAATGCATTCGCTCTAATGCTGAAAAGGTAAAGATGTTCTGTAAATGTTATCATTTAGATAAGGTTACTTCAAACTAAGATTCAAATCTTTTTTTTTAAGAGATTGGAGAAGAAGAGAGCTATGTGTAATTTTTGTAAGGAAAATAGTGTTTTATAAATATTTTTTATGGCTCCTCATCTAACATCCACATTTACCTGTCTATAATGTGTTTGTGCCAGCTTGACTTAGCATCTCTAGAATTGGAAAAGCAAATAACCTCTTGAAATTTCTTTGGAAACGAGTTTACTTCTGTCAAAGTTTTTTCACTCTGAAAAGGTTAATCTCACTTGTTGGAATATGTGCTATACCTCTTACAAAAACTGCTTAATATTTTTCTTATTTAAGGGTTCTTGTCCCTGTAACTTAGAGAAAATCCCATGGTCATTCTTGATTCCTTTCTCTCTTCTACGACAATACTTATAATTAAAAAACATAGACAACTCAAAACATAAAAATAAGTATTTCTTTATAAATAAATAATCATGTAAATCTTCGTCATTTTTATGTTCATCATCGGAAACAGTAGTTCCAGCCTAAATAGGAAAATTTAGTAGGAATTATGTTCAACTTCCTCACTTTTTTTTTTTACAGAAATAATCTGTAGTTTTGCTATTTAAAATTTTAGAGAAGTTACTTGATATCTTAGTCACTTTCTTCATTGCTGAGACACAGTGCCCGACACCAAGGAGGAAAGGTTTATTTCAGCTTACAGTTTGTAGAGGATTCACTCCATAGCGAGCTGGCTCCAAGGCTGGATGGCATGGACAGGAAGCAGAGAACATCAAGAGAGAGTCAGAAAGGGGACTAAAACCCTCCCAGGTCGTACTTCAGGACTTGCTTCCTCCCCAGTACCCCACCCCCTAACAGCAAGCCAACAATAAGGTTACCTTCCTCAGCCCCCAGGTGATGAGTTCAAGGCTTTCAGGGGACATCTAGATATAAACCATAACACTTGAGTATTCTATGACTTAAACATTTTAATTTGTGCTTTATATACTACAAACGTACTAATAAAAATTAAAATGAAAAACTTTTAATGCATGTAATAAACTGTAATTACAGGAATAACCTGTTACTGCTTTATGACCATATATGTTAATATGTGTAAAGTGCCTAGTTCCTACCTTTAATAAGTAGTTATTAGTTATTCGCTTCTAGTGACTACAAAGGAAGCTACTATGTTTAAATAGAAGTTTGAGCTTTACTTATTAATTGAGATCTTGCTATACATGGAGTTCAATTAATGAAGTATTTCAGGGTACAGAAGTACTGAATGTTAACTATTATTATCTGATATTAATTGCTCATTTTATTTTATTGTATTGTATTTTCCTTGATAGTGTGTTCCATCTAGCTGCAGGGGAAGTACTTGGAGAGTCATTGAAAATATTATTTAGGAAACAGAAATATCAGAGGCCCCAAGTTTATCTTCTTTTGAATATCTAAAAACATGCCTAGTAAGATATCTTGGAGTAATAGGGTATTGAGATTGGTGTTGTCCCATTACCCTCTCCTTGTCAGTGCCTGTAATGAACAGATTAACTCTGAGAGACTACAAGATTTTTTTTAGTGCTTCTTGCCAATATCATAAAAAAAAAAGTATTAGGGAAATAAATTACTCTTCACCTTATATTGGAAAAAGAATCTTTAAGCTCTCATTTAACCAAGGCAGCTGACAGACGGTTTCCTGTGCTAGTGTAGATAAAGTGAAGTGAAATATAAAAATGCAAGCTAGATGTGATAACATATGCCTGTAGTCCTAGCAGTCCTGGGGGAGCTGAATCAGGAGAATCACTTGAACCTAGGTGCTCTTGACCAACCTGAGGAACACAGCAAGACTCCATCGCACAAAAGAAAACACAACCACTACAGAAATAAAAATACTCTACCAATAGCTTGACTGTGTTTAAGTAGATTACTCATAATACAAACTATGGACTGGGCTATGATGTCTCTGTGGTCAGCTATATTCCTGTAAGATCTTCTCCCTTCACAGCCACAGATACCTAGAAGGTTGGTTCTGTCTTTTTTCCTCCAGGGTCAATAAAACTTTTTTGTAGTTACCACCTAGGATGTGAGCTCATCCTGTTGCCTTGGCTGTGTCTTGACCCAATAACCTCCAGGCAGTCCCTAAATACTCAAAAGTTAGCCATGCTTATGGGATGGAAAATAATTTGGAGGTACTACTGTTCTGGGTTCATGGTGTTCCATTTGTTTTGTTTTAGCTGCCTTTAAGATTCAACGATGCCTTGGTACTGAGACAGCTCCGATACACAGGAATGCTGGAGACAGTTCGGATTCGCCAGTCAGGATACAGCTGCAAATACTCTTTTCAGGTTGTGCTTCTGTAGTGATATTTATATATTCACATCACGTAAATATTTTCACATGTGTATTTCTTTGGGGCTCACTTGTTTATTTCCCTCTTTCTGTTTTGTATACTGAATTGAAAAAGGTTAAAAAAAAGTACTTTTGTTGGACGTCAGCAGTCGCATTAAACTTATGTTGTAAAAGAATCCAGTATATGGCTATTATCTGATCAGAGTGTTTATTAATAGTAAATTGAATGAAAATGCAGTTTTTTATGCTGGTTGCTCCAGTCATTGAAGTAGTCAATCAAAATTTTCTAGACAGCAGAGAGTTTTCTTAGTAGGGTTATCTTTCATAGGAAGCTACTGAGAAGGTACACAGCTATTATTATCAGCTACTGCTGCTATGGCTGTAGAAATTATATTGGAGCTAGGCCTGGTGGTACACGCCTGTAATATCAGTACTCAGCAGGTTGAGGCAGGAGGATTGCTGCAAGTTCGAGGCGAACTTGAATGCATAGCAAAACCCCATCTCAAAAAAAAAATTCATATTTGAGTCTTTGTTGTACTGGAAAGAAAGCTTTATTCTTAGGTATGCCCTTATAATATCTACCATGCCAGGCATAGTGCCACACACCTGTTATGTGAGCACTCTTGAAGGCTGAGGCAGTAGGATCATAAGTTCAAGGCAAGCTTGGGCAACTTAGTTACTTGGTGAGATCCTGCTCAAAAAAACAAAATAAAAAATGGGTTGGGTTCAATCTTCATTACTAAAAATAAAACAAAAAGGTGCCACGTTAGCTATTTTGTTTCTTTCCTGGTTAAGAATTTCAGGTTCTTGGTAAATAATCTTTTCTTTGCTCTGTAATACATATTTTTCCAAAGAGATAATTAATCTCTGCCTTTCTTCTTCCATTTCCATTTGATAGCATTAATATGCAGAACTTGGTTTTTCTTCCCCCCCTCCCATGTTTTCTAAATTAACCTTTTATTATATATTAAGTTAATAACCACCTTTTTTGTTTCATCTGTTAAAAGAATAAGAAAAAGAGTAATTAAGGGATAATTAACTTGTTTAGTGTTTACATACAATTTTCTTGTGATTTTACAGCATTTTCTTTTTATTTTTCAGGATTTTGTGAGCCACTTTCATGTACTTCTTCCTCGAAATATTATTCCATCCAAATTTAACATTCAGGATTTCTTTAGGAAAATAAATCTTAATCCAGATAGTTACCAAGTTGGAAAAACCATGGTAAATATATCTATCTATCTATCTTTTGTCAAAATTGAGTACATTTTCATATTTTAATAATAATGTCAGTTGTTGACTCTGAGGATTTTTATTTAAAAAGTATGTATCAGATTCGTAAGGAAATTGATTAACCTAAGGTTTTTAAGTAAGATAGCCAGTATTAACAGAACTTCTGGTCAGTGCTCTAGTTGTGACTAATTTTAACTGTAATTTAAACCATCTTTGACTAGATATTTTACTACCATTGGCAATTCACTTGCCCAAGGAAACCTTATCCAGATTGTTCTACTTGCCTTAATTTATCATCTGCTTTCTCTTTCACCTCTTTTTCTTCTCTCAGGCTAGAAATTATTTTGGCTTATCCTTCAATATAATGTTTTTACAAAGTTCTGTTTCTCTTTTCTCACAAATAATTTTTATATCTTTCATATTTTGTTTCTCCTGCTTCCATTTTCCTTTCTTTAGCTCTTCTCATCTAAGTTACCCTTAGAATAAATGGATATTTATCTGCTATTAATCTATTTTAGTCATTCATGTCATTTACTTTACTCTGACTAAAAGGATCTTAGTATGTTTTGTCTTGGCCTCTTGCTCAATAATAATCCCCCAGTAACTTCCTCATTAAATTCAAACATCTTCCTCTTTTTAAAGAACCTCCATATTGTGGCTTCACACCATTCATTATCCTCTTCATAAAAATGAATTGTGTTGTCCTCTGTCCATTCCTTTATATTGTTTCATCTCCTTGTGTTACTCAGGTGAGATCTTCTGTCTCTAGCTTTTATTAGTTAATTGTTTTCTTCCTAGGGTACATAATACTTATCTGCATTTAAAAGTGAAGTGCAAATTTTGTTTCCAAAGACATGTGTGTTAATTTATTTTTGTATACTGAAAAACCTCTTAAGAATTTATTAGGGGAAGGAAGAAGTAAATAAATAACATGATTGATAACTTCGGCAGTAAGAAGTCTTTGATGAATACTGGATTTAAAAAATGCTGCTGTCATTGGTTTATTTACATAATGATTAAGTTTCAAGACATTGTTCTCAATCTTTCCCTAATAGCACACTTGAAAAATTTTATTTTGATGTATTTTCAATAGTACATAGATGCATTATGGAAGTGATTTTCCGAAAAGAATAATGTATCCAGTCTCTGTCAGTGGAACTTTTGTGCTCTTGCTCATCTTCCTATTGCTCCTCCTGTATTTTAATATATTCTTTTCAATTTGAGAATGACTCTTTCAGATCAAATGATACAGGGCTTCATTTTTCGGTCCTGCATTTAAATCTCTGCATTATGTTTGTTCTTGTCTAAAAGCTTGCCACAGGAAGAATAATTCATAGAAACAAAATTTTTATTTCTTCTTAAGCTACATTCCCTATGTTTCTTCCTTGTGGTAGATCTTCCTAAAGGAGCAGGAACGACAGCACTTACAAGATCTGCTGCACCAAGAAGTGCTCCGTAGAATCGTGTTGTTGCAGCGATGGTTCCGGGTGTTGCTGTGTAGACAGCATTTCCTCCATCTGAGACAGGCAGCCATTGTTATCCAGGTGTGAAGCAGAGGATTTTCTGCATGAGATTGACTGGTTTATTTGTTCTTTCTTTAATAACTAGAAATAGTTTCACTGTGTAACTTTTAAATAATAATGTAAACTTCAGAGATGAAAATATATTATACTCAATTCTGAAATGTTCATAGCACCCAACCATCAATATTGATTTGATGAATTTAAGTTAAATTTAATTTATACTTACAATGTTTTTGTGTGGTATGAAAAGGGGCAGAGGAGTCACGTACTTTAATTTTTGTTGAGATGATTCTTTTTATGTAATACTTTGCTGAGTGACACTTGACAGTTACAAATACGTTGCTGCTAGGCACTTATTGGATGATGAGCACCTTTCTTTATGTCACATTTTCATCTGTTATTATTTCTCCCATTTTTAAAATATATTCTTGGGTATTCTGTGCAAGACTTTTTTTGTTTGTGCAAGAAAATCTTTAGTATCTTTTTTTTTTTTTTGGTTTTTCTCCGGTACCGGGAACCGAACTCACGACCTTGCGCTTGCCAGGCAGGCGCTTTTGCCGCTAAGCTAAATCCCCAGCCCCGAAAATCTTTAGTATCTTCATCATTAGTTGCCTTAAATCTATTAATATTATTAGAGCAAATTGTATCAAAAAAGAATATCACTTGTTGAAATGAATTTGTAGGACCTGAAAGCATCCAAAATTTTTAAGTTCTGTAGTTAACTTGATGAAGGTTATATTATTTAAAATACTTATCTGAGCATATCTAGAAAATTTTTTATTCACTGACAGTTTACCTGCTGAGCCACTTCTAAGTGAGAAATTTATCCTTTTTTCTCTTTTCTGTGCAAATATATGGTAATGTGAGAACCCATATTGTTGTTTTCCTCACAGAGATTCTGGAGGAATTACCTAAATCAGAAGCAAGTCAGAGCTGCAGCTGTGCAGAAGGGTGCTTTTGTCATGGATAGTGCAGCTACTGTCCTCCAAGCATCCTGGCGTGCTCATTTAGAGAGGCAGAAGTACTTGGAGCTACGTGCTGCAGTCATCATCATCCAGCAAAGGTGGAGAAACCTCTATAGGCACAGGTACATGGCTGCTACCTGCATACAGGCAAGATGGAAGGGCTATAGGGAAAGTAAGCGGTATCAAGAGCAAAGGAATGCAATTATTCTTTTGCAATCAACATGTAGAGGATTCGCAGCAAGACAAAGGTAATCTTTGTTATTGTAATTACTCTTTCTGTCTTCCTAAGTACTTTATGTATAATGCTTGTACTACTAGTTATATACAGTTTGTTTCTTTACTACACTGGCTGGCCTTGAACTCACTGTGTAGCCCAGGTGGGCCTTGAAATTGCAGCAATTGCTGCCCCTACCTCCTGAGTGCGAGGATTACAGGCTTGTGCCACCATGCCAGCAGTATTTAACTTTTTACCTTTAGAAAGATTAATTTCACATGTAAGGTCTGTCTTAAATTAAGGACATTATTAAAATGAGAGCTTCTGTGTTAGTTTATATTTTGGCTGGAATGCTGAGTTAGAAATAATTTGCGTTGCTGGGCATGATGGCAATAACACTTATAATCATTGTAACACTTTATAATTACAATAACACATTATAATTACAATAACACTTATAATCCTAGCACCTGAGAGCCTAAGGCAGGAGGATCACTGAAGGTTTGAAGCCAGCCTGGGCTATATAGTCAAAGGCCAGCCTAACCTATAGAACAAGACCCTGTGTCCGAAAACCAGGCTGGCGCTGTACTGCTAGAGCTATATCCCTGGTGCCAGAAAAACAAAAAACAAAAAAAAAGAGAAAGAAAGAAAGGGAGACCTTGGACTGGGTGGTCCACCTCCTGCAGTCATCGCATTTCATGGCTGTGCCCCGGGAGAGACAGGTACACTCAGTGAGCTGCCTGGGGACCCCTTACCTGGCAGCCGACCTCTTTGGTTCACGGCTGAGTCTCACACACTCCATCAACTGGCTGGGGATCCCGGTCCTGGCAGCCTGCCTTCTGCCACCATAATGATGCATAGCTGAGCCCCAGGATAGCCAGATATGCTCCATCAATTGCCTCGGGATCCCAGACCAGCACTTGCCTCCAGCCACCATTGCAGTGTACATCTGAGCCCCAGGAGAGCTAGGTGCACTCTGTGAACTGCCTGGAGATCCCTGACCTGGTGCCCTGCCTCCTGCCACCCTCGTGGGGCAAGTGTGATACCCAGGAAATCTAGGGACCCTCAGGACCTTAGGTGAGCTGCCCAGGAAGGATGAGGCTCAGCATTCTCCTCCAGAATCAAAATGACAAGATGAAGGAGTAATATGCAGTTTCATAACTCCATCCCACCAGAACAAATCCAGGAGACATAGACATAGAAGAACTTCAAAGTCACACACCTTAAATTTCTGAAGTGATTGCAACTGAGGTAAAGAAACAACTCCCTTAGACAATAGAAGAAATCACATCAGAAGTAATCTCTCAGGTAAAAAATGAAATGACACCAGTAATGAAAGAATTGCTCAGCACATCTAAGAAGACATTTATAAAAAAAAATGGAGCATAGAAAAATATTGGAAATGTTGAATGAACAATATAGGAAAGAAGTAGAGCGCATGAAAGAGATTCAAAAAGATATGCAGGAAATCAAAACTTCCATTGAAAGCTGGCAAAACCGCTTCAGTGAAGCTGAAGATAGACTTGAAGATGTTGAAGACAGCACTGCTGCTAACAATCGCGAAAAGAAGGATCTCTTAACAATAGCAAGGAACCAGGAAATACCCATTCAAAAGCTGTAAGATGATGCAAAGAAAAACAATGTAAGACTAATAGGTATCAACGGAATGGTAGGAGGCAATACAAATGACATAAAAAGAATATTTGCAGAAGTAATAGCAGAAAATTTCCCAAACATGGAAAAAAATCTGACATACAGTAAGTGAGGCATATAGAACTCCAGTTAGCCATAACCAAAATAAATCTATACCCAGACATATACTAATCAAGATCAATAATCAGGGAAAAGAACAGAATATTTAAAGCTGTTAGAGAAAAGAAATTGATCACCTGTAGAGGAAAGCCCATCAGAATCATGGCAGTTTTGAACACAAACCATCAAGTTAAGAAGAACTTGGAATGAAGTATTACAGGTCCTGAAACAAAACAACAAACAACCCAGATTGATGTACCCTGCAAAGCTATCTTTCAAAATTAATGGAGAAATAAAATATTTCCACAACAAAGAACTAAAGAACTTCACAAGCACCAAACCAACCCTGTAAAGACTACTAAAAGATATTCTAGAAATGATAAAAATGACCAGAATTTCAAGAACAACAATAGAAAGGAACCACCAAGCAGAGCAAGCAATTAAACAGAGACAAAAAGTAGGAAACCAACAGCAGGTAAATAGCATGACAAAGACAAGCCAATAGATTTCAGTTATAACCATTAATGTAAATGGCCTCAATTCACCCATCAAGAGAAGCAAACTGGTAGAATGGATTGAAAAACAGTATCCAAAACTATGCTGTAAAAAAGAAAGATATGTAACTCAAAAGGAAATTTATAGACTGAAAGTCAAAGGATGGAAAACAATTCTCTATATGGCAGGAACCCAGAAAAAAGCAGGGGTAGCTATTCTGTTTGCAGACAATGTGAACTTCAAACCAAGAGTGATCAGAAGAGATAAAGAAGATCACTACACACTTGTTAGGGAAAAACTTCAAGAGGAAGAGGTAACAATCGTAAATATATATGAACCAAATATGGGAGCCTCAAGTTATATAAGACAAATCCTAAAGGACATGAAAAAGCAGATAAGTAATAACACTATTGTAATGAAGGACCTTAACACACCATTGACACAATGAGATAGGTCAACTAGACAAAAATATCAGCAGATTTTTTGAACCAGACTTGTGAAACAGAACTGAACCAAACTTGTAAAAAAATGGACAAGTAGATGTTTACAGAGTGCTCCACCCCACAACATCAGAATACACATTCTTCTCACCTGCACACAGGACCTTATGTAAAATACACTACATACTAGCCTATAGAACATGCTTAACTAAATGCAAAGGAAATGAAATTGTCCCATGCATATTGTCTGACCATAGTGCAATGAAATTGGAAATTAATGGCAAAAGGAACCACAAAACCTCTATAAACACATGGAAATTAAATAACACCCTCCTGAACAACCAATGGATCACAGATGAAATTAAAGAAGGAATTAAACAGTATCTACAAACAAATGAAAATATAAATACAACTTACTGTAATCTCTGGGATGCACTAAAATCAGTCCTCAGAGGGAAATTTTTTGTTTGTTTGTTTGTTTTTTTCTGGTACTGGGAATCTAACTCACAACCTTGAGCTTGCCAGGCAGGCACTGTGCCACTAAGCTAAATCCCCAGCCCCTCAGAGGGAAATTTATAGTGGTGATTTGATACATCAGGAAAACAGAACGAAAACAAATAAATAGCCTAATGCTGTACCTTAAAGTTTTATAAATAGAAGAACAAGTCAAGCCCACAGCCCAAAAAAGGAAATTATAAAGATCAGGGCAGAAATTAACACAATTTAGATGAAGAGAACAGTATGAAGAGTTAATGAGTCAAAGTGATGGTTCTTTGAAAGAATAAATACAATTGATAAAACCCTAGCTAAGCTTATCAAAAAAAGGAAAGAAAAAACTTAAATTCATTCAATAAAGAATGAAAAGTGTAAAATCACTAGAGATCCTGTAGAAATTCAGAAGATCAATACCTACTTTGAAAATCTTTACTCCTATAGGATGGACAACACAGAAGAAATGGACAGATTCCCAGATACATATGAATTACCAACATTGAATCAAGAAGATATAAAAGGTCTGAATAACCCAATATTAATTATTGAAAATGAAAATGTGGTTAAAAACTTAGCAACAAAGACAAGCCCAGGTCCTGATGGATTCATAGCTGAATCCCACAAGAAATTTAGAGAAGATTTAATGCCAGCACTCCTCATACTCTTCAAAGAAATTGAAAAGGAAGCAGTTCTCCCTTGCCTCATTTCTGGAGACAAGTACCAAAAGCAGAGAAAGATACCAAAAGCAGAAAAAGACCCAACCAAACAAAGAGAAAGATACCAAAAGCAGAGAAAGACCCAACCAAACAAAAGAACTACAGGCAATCTCCCTAATTAACATAGATGCAAATATTCTCAATAAAGTACTAGCAAACAATTCAGCAAATCATTAAGAAGATTATACACCATGACCAAGTGGGATTCATCCCAAGGATGCAGGAATGGTTCAGTATATGCAAATCAATAAATGCAATACACTATATCAACAGAGCCAAAGACAAAAATCACATAATCATTTCATTAAATGCAGAAAAAGCTTCTGACAAAGTCCAACACTCATTCATGATAAAAACCTTATAGAAAATTGGAATAGACAGTCTACCTCAATCTGATTAAAGCCATCTATGACAAACCAATAGCCAACATCATACTAAATGGACAAAAACTGAAATCTTTCACTTTAAAATCGGGAACAAGACAAGGATGTCCACTGTCACCACTCCTATGCAGCATAGTTTGGGAAACATTAGCCAGAGCAATTAGATAAGAGAGAGAAATAAAGGAATAAGAATAGGAAAGGACAAAGTAAAGCTATCATTATTCCCAGATGACATAATACTCTGCATGGAAGACCCCAAAAACTCTACCAAAAGACTCCTTGAATTAGTAAATAAATTCAGTAGCTTAGCTGGATACAAAGTCAGCACTCAAAAGTCAAAAGCATTCCTATACATAAATAACAAACATACTGAGAGAGAAATTAAGGGAACCATACCTTTTATAGTAGCATCCAAAAAATTGAAATACTTAGGAATCAATCTAACCAAAGAAGTAAAAGATTTATACAGTGAAAACTATAGTACTCTGAAAAAGAGATAGAAGAGGATTTCAGAAAATGGAAAGATATTCCTTGCTCCTGGATAGGAAGAACCAACATTTTGAAAAGGGCTATACTCCCAAAATTGCTATATAGATTCAATTAAGTCCTGATCAGAATACCATTGGTATTCACAGATCTACAGAAAACATTCCTAAAATTCATCTGGAAACAGAAGAGATCCAGAATTTCCAAAGCAATCTTGACCAACCAAGGCAAGGCAGGTGGCATCGCAATCCCTGACTTGAAATTATACTACAAAGCTACTGTGATAGAATCAGCATGGTATTGAGAAAAAAATAGACCTGAAGATCAGTGGAACAGATTGGAAGATGCAGCCACAACCATAAAGATACTCAGCCACCTTATATTGACAAAAGGGCCAAACAAGTTCCCTGGAAGAAAGCCTCTTTAATAAATGGTGCTGGAAAAACTGGCTCGCCACATGCCGAAGACTGAGACTAGACCCATGTCTATCACCATCCACCAAACTAAAGTCCAAATGGATTAAAGATCCAAATATTAAAACAGAAACACAAAATGACTGGAAGAGAAAACAAGTAAAAATCTTGAAGATATAGGGATAGGCAGAGAATTTGTGAGCAAAACCCCAACTGTATGGAAAATAGTTCAAAGAATCTACAACTGGGATCTCATCTTATTGAAAAGTTTTTGCAAATCGAAAGAAATCACCAACAGATTAAGAAGAAAACTCACAAATTGGGAACCAATTTTAGGGAACTGTCCCTCAAACAAAGGACACACACACAGACAACTGTCCCTCAAAGGACGGACACACACACACACACACACACACACAAGGTAACTAAGATAATTGTACTACTAATTTCTATTGCTTTATTTAAAGGAACAGTTAATGTTTGATCAGTCTTTCATGCTTATATCTGTTTATCTGAATAACCAATTTGAAGATAACAATATGTAATACAACAACCATTGTTAATTTCCTATCACCTTGTCTCAAATTCTGTACTGCTTTTATTGTTTTTCTGTTGTTTTATGTCTGTGTGTTTGTTAATTTCCTTTGGTTCTTTTCTTTTTAAAATTAAAAAAGAAAGAAATTTGATATGCATAACAACTATTCTTGTCTCATGGAAATAGGAGAATTCAAATGAGATAATTAAGTTAAATGCTTACGTATTATAAGATGAAAATTTTAATTCTAGGTGCAGTGGCACATACCAATAGTTTTAGCTTTTGGGGGGGGATCACTTAAGCATAAAGTTGAAGTCTGAGGCCACTCTCAACAATCACAACATAGTAGACTATCTTTAAAACAAAGAAAATTTTGTGACTTTGCATTTCTGTTTAAATTCCTAATAAGTGTATTCTCTTCATTGGTAACCAAGAGTGATCTATAACCCATTTATATCTGTTTTCATGTAGATTTAAAGCCTTAAAAGAACAGAAGCTAAAAGAAACAAAACTAGCACATGGATTGATGAATATCAAGGCATTTGGAACTCTGGAAATTCAGGGTTCAGACCCTTCAGAATGGGAGGATTGTTCCTTTGACAGCAGAGTGAAAGCCATAGAGGAAAGTAAATCTGTGATGGACAGTAATCGCCTTAGCCGAGATGGTTCAGTGGAGGGCTCAGAAGAGTCTCTAGATAAGAGGCAGGAGAGAGCCAGATGTCAAAGTGGTATGGACTTACAGCAAGAGGTGATTGTCAGAGAAAGACCGAAGTCATTGGAGGATCTCCATCAGAAAAAAGTAGGACGAGCCAAAAGAGAAAGCCGGAGAATGAGAGAGCTAGAGCAAGCTATATTTAGCTTGGAACTGCTGAAAGTTCGTTCTCTTGGTGGTGTGTCTCCTTCAGAGGAACGGAGATGGTCTACAGAACTGATGCCTGAAGGCCTCCAGTCTCCACAGGACACCCCAGATAGTGAAAGCTCTCAAGGAAGCTTGGAACTTCTAAGCTGTGAGGACAGTCAGAAGAGCAAGTTAGAGTCCGTAATTTTAGATGAAGGACACTTGCAAGTTTCATCACCAAAGATGTCTCACAGTCTAAAATCCGATGCACAGGACAATTCCTTCAGTGCCTCAAGTAAGACCAGTTCTGTGTGGATTCAGAAAGGAGCATCCCCTGACTCAGACCCCTTAAAGAATGGGACTGTGCAGGAAAAGCGGGTCTGTGGTTCTGAACCTATCACCTGTAAGCCACAGCAGAGAGACTCTTCCATGTCAAATAGTTTGCCTACATTTTTTTATATTCCCCATCAAGACACCCTGAAAACAAGTTCCCAGCTAGACACAAGTGTCCAAAGAAACAAACATTTGGAATACAACCATACACTGGGGACAGCTCATACTTTAGATTTCAGCAGAGAACCTAGAAAGTCTCACTTCTCAGGAGACCAAGTGGTTCCTTCTTGGAATATGGATTCTTCTAATAATGTGCTTAAGAAATTAGAAAAACTAAACACAGAAAAGGAAGAAAGGCAAAAGCAGTTGCAGCAGCAGAATGAAAAAGAAATGATGGAGCAGATTCGACAGCAAACAGATATTCTAGAAAAGGAGCGCAAAGCCTTCAAGACAATTGAAAAGCCAAGAGCTGGAGAGTCTTTCCCGACACCATCATTCTGTCAGTCAAAGCCAAGAGCAGAGAGGCCATCCTCTTTGTTTATCCCAAGTTCCCCAAATAAGGGAGAACCTAGTGGACTAGCGTCCCCATCAGTATCTGTAAAAGATGCTGTTTTTACCCCAAAAGACACTCCTTCTGCTCATTTACCTCTGAAGGACCGACCTGTCACACTTTTCTTTGAAAGGAAAGCAAACCCTTGCCAATCTAGTAATGTCAAACAATTGTCCAAGACACAAAGAATGGACACCCAGCAGGATATTGCTTGTAGACTCTCTAATAATCGAATTTCAAAAAGAGAACACTTTAGACCAGGTCAGACTTATGGCCACAAGTCTGAAGACTCTTCCAGAGAAGGAAATACAGGGGCCATTTTCTTCACATCAAAAGACAGTACAAGTATTCCTATGTAAGTCAAATGTTTACTTGTAGCAATAGATGGGCATGTTCTTGGAGTATTTTTATGCTGTCTTTTTTGCTGCACTTATTTGTGTGAGTACTGCTCAAATTATCCATCCATTTCTACTTTTATTTATTTATTTTTTTTCTCCGGTACCGGGAACCGAACTCACGACCTTGCACTCACGACCTTGCGCATCCATTTCTACTTTTAAAAATACTACTTAGAAACAAAATAAAGCATTGATTCTGTCAGCTGCTTGTAATTGGATATAGTTACACCCTGGATTCTCTGAACTCAGATAGCAGAGCTCTTGCTTCTTCCCCATTAGGTCAAAGAGTATGTATAAAGGCCAGTTTCGCCCATATGCAAGTCTCTAGAGCTGTGAAGTGTAGCTTTCCAAGCTGGCTAGTGTCACACATTAATGAAGTTAGTGTCTTTTGTTGGTCTATTTATGGCCTTCATAATTTTCTTTATACATGTGTGGGTGTAGGTGTGTGTGGTGGGTGGGTGTGTTTGAGTGTATTGATAAATATATAAACTTGCCATCTTTCACCATTTTTAAGTGTTGCAGTTAACAGTAGTGTTAACTTTATTCCCATTGTTGCTTAGCAGCTCTTTAGAACTTTCATTTTACAAAACTGAGCTCTGTACCTATTAAACAAACTCACTTTTCCCTTCTCCCCAGCCCTTGGCAGCTACTATTCTATTTTCGAAGAGTTTGACTATTTTAGATACCTTATATAAGTGGAAGTTCTTTAAGATGTTTTTTAGCTAGTGTTAGTCATGAAAAAGTCCTCTCATTCAGTATTAAACACAGGACTTCACATGACATGTCCTCTACTACTGAGCCAAGTACCACCCCAGAAGAACATTTTCAAATTGATATGTCACAAGTTGGATAAAACTTAAGATGTTTCTACATCATCTTTGTATACAGTAGATTGTTTTAGTGCCTGTGGGAGATACCACTGTTGAAGACTGTACCTTAGGGCAAAAAAAATTAAATTTCACATTAATGAAAATACCCTTTTCTGTCCAATCATAGTCATAGTCCTACTAAGACCTAGAATTCTAAATTTTGGTGGGGCTTGATATTTTCCTTTGTTCATTATCAGATCCACTTCAGGTCTTGAACTACTTTTGCTGCTACTGTTCTTAAACATATGTCACCGTAGTAGAGTGCACCCAGCGATTATCCTAGCAGAACATCTAGGAATTCAGTCATATGTGCAGATTCTTGATAATTCTTGAGTTGGCAGGCTATAATTCATGCTGTATTTTGAAACTGCTTTTATGGAATATCTGCTAGGAATTGAAATATAATCTTGTTGTTTTAAAGTGTCAACAAGGAAGCATTAAGCAGTGGAAATCCTCAGGTTCATAAAAAAGATGAACCAGCATGGAAACCTCTGAAGTTAGCCGGGCCAGGTCAGCGAGAGGTAAGTATTAAGTCTGTTTATCTTCTGTTTGAAGTAGATGCATACTATTTTGGAAGTTAATGTTCTTGTAGGAGAACACCTTGTCCACTCCCATGTGTTTTTAGAGAAAAAAGCCATGAGCTGAACCTGTTATAACTAGTAAGGTATACTCTAGGCAGCGAGAGGCGCCTAAAAACCAAATTATGTTTGTAAAAAAGAAATTGCTTAGAGAAAAAGACAGTTTATTCAGGTTACTTTGGTGTGACCTCTTGTAGCAAGAAAGGGTGGCTTATTTGGCTGTGAAGAAGCAGGATGTAGATTTTTAGCTTTCATTCTTACTCTTTGTCTAGAGTAATACATAATGGATTTCTTTTCATCATCCCTGTTACTTCTACTAGTGGAAAGGCTATGTTGGGGTGGAGGGATGTTTCAAGAAATTCATGGGTCCTCTTTCATTGGCCTCATCTCCAAAAAACCAAAACAAAACATTGTTGTGTTATTTTTTTTATCATTTGGTCAAGCAGGTTGCCAGACCGGCCCATAAAAAGAAAGCTCGAATGGCGCGGACGCGCTCCGATTTCTTGACTAGAGGTACTTTTGCCGATGGGGAGGGGGACACAGAGGAAGATGATTACGATGACATAATTGAGCCCCATCTCTCCCTTGACCAAGCTTCTCACTCTGAGCTAGGGTCTGCATCCACCCTGGGTCAGGCCTCTCACAGTGACTCCGAAATGGTAATTTTACAGCAATATAAGAAAAATAGCAAGCAATTCTGATGGGAATCGTCTTTGCTAATCTCAAGCTAACTTTCACAGCTTCTTCCCATCTAATGTTGTACATGGGAAATCCCACTGAACACAGCAGATAAAGCTAAATGTTAATAGGGATTAAAATAAACGGCACCTTAGCAGCATGTATCGAGTCATGAACTAGGGAAAATTAAGGTTGTTCAGCACTGTTGTAGAAATTATGATGCTATTATCTCAAAAGATAGGGTAGAAGTCCTTCTTTTCCATAAAGGACCAGATGATAAATTCTTTAGACTTTGTAGCTGATACATTCTCTTAACTTGACCACCATCATATGAAAGCAGCCCCAGACAATAAGTTAAAAAAAAAAAAGGCCCAGTAGGTGTTACTGTATTCTAATAAAACAACAGACACAAACAGTGGGCTGTAATCGACTATTCCCTGGCCTAGGAAGTAGACAGTTACATAACTCAGTAGATTTTAACTGAAATGTTATTTACTTTTTTGCCTTTAAACTTGCTTTCTCACCCCTATTTTTAAGTAATATCAAATAAACGTGATTTTTAAAAAATTTTGTGAGCAAAATGTGAGTCCCAGAAAATCCAGCCAAACAGAAGGCCACATGTAATGTGAATTTGTATTAATATCAAATTACAGCATTGGCACTGTGTTTGAATAAAGCTTTACTGTTTGGGGCTTGGAATATAACTTCATCATCATCCCACCTAAAATTAGGTACAAATATGTTTTGATGAGTATATTTATAGGTATGTTAGGGTAAAGAGTTTTATTTTGGAATTGTCCTAGAAAATACACAATGTATGTCTAGCACAGACTAAAACATCATTGAAGTATGCTTTATTTCCATTTAGATCCATAAATTGGCTTTACGATTTTCTTTACAGTATGATGGAAAAATGTATGATAGTCTTTGAATCATTAAATATTTTATTTTTCAAAGCTTTTAAATTTTTGAATTGTGAAGACACAGTTAATAATATTTTTTTTAATATTCAGAACTCTGTTACTGTCTATTTGTGAAAGGTAGATCCAATTTTAAAATGATACTCATGTACCATGAGGGAAAAAAAACAAGGAAAACAGAAAAATGCAGGGCATGTTTCCTGATTAACCTGAGCCAAACTGTAGGATTATAGAAGTTGGAAACATATTATATAGTATATATAAAATTAGAGGTAAAAGTTCTTTGTATACAAAAACATTCCACTTTGAAGGTGCCCTGTTTTAGAGTTATAATTAATGAAACATAGTCTGTTATGTGATTAGTAATTAAGTGTGAAAAATTTTGTAATGCCACAAATCTTGTTGAAAAATACTACTTTAGTGTATGGATATTATCATTTATGGAGGACTTTAGCACTTTTTACTGCTGTTGTGTTCCTGGGTTTCCTTTGTAACAACCCCTAGTCCTTTTGGTGATAGAATTCTTTCACACTGGAGCTCTTGCTGAGATGAACTAGGAATTTGGGCTTTCTGCTTGGAGCATTCAGCTCCTGTCAGTGTTGTTCTAGCCTCTGTCACCTGCTTGACAGCCACTGCATGCGGTAGCTGTAGAACACTTCCCTGCACAGTGTATAGTCACTCTTAGCTTCTTACTGCTCCTGTCTCTCATCACTGGCTACTTTAGGACCAGGTGGTGGTGCTTGTTTCTGGTGGACACTTGCATGAACAAGCTTTGCTTTCTAGAATCTGCTAATAGGTACTTATTGGGGCTGGGGGTGGGGAGGATAGGAATGATTTTACAATGTTTTCTGTTTGTGTATCCTGAAAATGTGCCATGTTCTAACGTAAACTGTTACTGTGATGTGAAGATGAAGGCTTACACTGTTTCTAAGTAAGATCTACCACATTCTCAAAATCCAGAGTTTTTAAATGGATTTAATTTTAGGCGGCACGTGGATTTTTTTAAAAACTGGATTTGTTTTTCCTGGGCAACGAATTCTTATCACTGATGCTTGCGAAGAAGTGTGCCATTAAATCTTAGCAGAAATGACAATCTGACCTTTCCAGTTTTGAAATACCTAATCTAGTGGGATAGAGACTGTTACAGATGAATTACTGAAAGGGTTTTGATAAGCATTAGTCTTGAGTTGCTTGATTAATAAACAGTTGTTAGCTGCTGTGCGGGAGGGGAGACAGGGGTACTGGTTTCCTTCCCTTGTGTGACTTTTATGTTTTTTAACTTCCTACTTCAAACTGTGCCATTTAAATTACTGTTTAGTCTGTGTGCTCTCACTTTGTTCTTACATCCCCAATGTTGGCATTTTTCAAGAGGAATGACATGAAAAAAAAAGAATGACATGTTCTGTTAACCAAAATTTTAAAGATGACTTCCATAGGTCAAGTCTCTCAGTCTTCTAAATGACAGTGGCATTAGTAAAAGCCTATCTCATATCTGTAAGGTTAATATAGGAAACGTACGTTTCTCTATATAGTTTCTTCTACCGTTAGCCAAATGTAAAACAGTAATCTCTGTGGTGACATGACTCCCAAGTGGCTCTCTAGAATTTCATCGATCTTTAACCCCAGCATAGAGAGAACATTTATGTGATTTTTAGGAGCCTGGGGTTGGTGATTCTGAAGGTCTTGCACAAGTGGAAAACTGTGTAAGCATGAGGTCCTGGGTTCTATTTCCAATTTTTTAAAAAACTGGAAAACTGGTTGGTATTGAACAACCAGTTTATGACTCTGTTGGACTGGTAGCCCTAAGATAGCAGCCACAGTATTGAATATATACTTCGTAGTTCTGTGTATATTGTATTTCCCCCTAAAAATTTAGGAACAACTTTATATATGGTACAGTAGCTATCTGTTTGAATATTTGATAGAATTTCCCTGTCAAACCATCTGGCCTTGGTGCTTTTTTGTGGTGTATTCCTTAATTCCTTTTTTTTCTTCCAGGGAAATTGGTCTTTTTAAGATTTTAATCTAATGGGATCCATTTTGATAAACCATTTCTATAACTTTTCAGATTTATTTCCATAGAAGTACAGTATAGAAAGTAGTTGTTAAGAGTTTTTAGTTTTGAGCCGGGTGTGGTGGCACACACCTGTAATCCCAGCACTCAGGAGGCTGAGGCAGGAGGATCGCTGTGAATTCAAGGCCAGCCTGGGCTACAAAGTGAGTTCGAGCAGCCTGAACTGCATAGTGAGACCTGTCTCAAAAAAGACCAAAAAAAAAAAAAAAAAAAGTTTTAAAAATTTCTCTTTCAGTGATTTTTTTTTTTAAATCATTTTTTACCTTTTTTTCTTTCTTTTTTGAGACAGGGTCTCACCAGTTTAGGCTGGTCTTAAACTCTCATTGTAGCCCAGGCTAGCCTCAAATTCACAGCAGTCCTCCTGCCTCAGCCTCCTGAGTGCTGGGATTGCAGGCATGAGCCACCACACCCGGCTCCGATTTTTTACTTTGTAGATTTATATTTATTTTCTTTTACGTTAGCTAGTCATTTGTCTAATTTTTTTCCAAAATGGCAGGATTTTGCTTTATTATACGTATATTTTTCATTCTCTATTTCATTTGCTTCTACTTTTATCATTTATTTCCTGTGGTTTTTTGGTTTACTTTCTCATTTTTTCGAGATTTTTTTTTTTTAGTCAGGGCTCATTTTGTAGTATAGACTGGCCCAGAACTCACTATGTAGTTCAGGATGGCCTTGAACTTGTGCCAGTCCTCCTGCTTCAACCTCCTGAGTGCTGGGATGACAGGCATATGCCATCACACCTGGCCATTTTTCTAGATTTTGAGTTGGGAATTTAATTTGTTTATTCCACTTTTATTTATATGGGTTTTAAAATAAGTGATTTTTTTTTCCCTGATCATCCCTTCAGATGTATCTCATAGATATGTAGTTTTATTACTGTTTTCCTATAAAGTTTTAAAATGTTTTTATATGTATGATGTACACACACACACACACACACATACACATAGACACACATAGAAGACTTGATTAGCAAAAGATATTTTAGTTTTTAGAGGAAGAATGTTTTAAAATTGTTGTGTATTTCTATTTTTTCTGTATTGAAATCACCTGTAATATTTCTGTATGATATAATTTGTTGATACTTTCTGTCACCTAGTATGTGATTATTATGACATGCATTTAAGAATGTGTTCTTTATTCACAGTATAAAGTTTCAGGAGATATTCATTACCTCTATTCATCATCTTTATCTTCTACAGCCTCATTATTTTTGGTATACTTACTTGTCTTATCCAGATAATGGTGTGTTTTATTTCATTGTTAATTGTGGCTTTTAGGATCAGAAAGTGTCCTTTTTCACATTTAATGCTTTTTTCATTCTGTTACCACTCCCCCTCTTTTCTTATTATTTCCACTTACCTAGTATCCTTTTGTTTATCCTTTCATTTTTGGCCTTTCTAGATCACTTTAGGAATCAAATTTAAAACATTTTTCTCTTAAAAGGTCAGTTATACCTAATTATATCTATGGGTATAACTGATAAATTTAATTGCAACTCTTCATTTTATATAATTGTTATGTTTCCTATATTTATGTTATATGCATTTTCTTTTTTCTTCTTTTAGTTTTTCTTTTTTCTATTGTATGCTTATCTTTGTGTATAACTTTATTTTTGTATGTATGTATAACTTTAAAAATGCCGATAGTCAACTTTTGTTTTTGTCTAATCCATTTTTCTCTGGTTAGTCAATTTTTAATGTGTAACATACTAATTTAATTCCCACTTGTTGTGACACAACTATCATTTATTTATTTATGGTATTGGGAATCAAATTTCGGACCTTGAACTTCCCAGGCAGGTGCTTGTACAGCTGAGCTATATCCCTGGCCCTCAATGAATTATTGTATTCTCTTATTTTCTCTCTCCCTTATACTTTTGTTTTTTACGTTTTTATTTTTGCTTTATACCAACCCAAATACACAACATGAATAAAGTAATCATATAAAATCTATACACAAAGGCACCAGTCTAAAGAATGTCAAATGATTATGAATCCTTTATTTACACTTATATATTGTTTTTGTTAAATCTAATTCTTTTGTCCTTCTAAGTTATTTGATCTTTTAGACTGTAGACCTTCAGAATTTTTCCTTTATGTTTCATGTCTAGGATATGGTTGTTACAGGTTAATAATGTCATATATGTCTTGGATTCTTTCAGTGTGTAAATTCTGGTATTAGCTTACTGAAAATTCATTAATTGTAGTTTTACATATTTGTCATATTCCATCATTTTGTATTTCTTAAAGGACCTCCATTTTTTTTCTTTTTTTGCCTGTCTTCCATTTAAACTATGTTCTGACCTATTTTATTTTTCTTTATTAATTTTACATTTCTTTAGTATTTTCCACCTTTGCTTAATTCTTTTTACATTTTCATTTGTGTTTTTCTTCTTTGGGTTCCTTGTTAGTCTTCATTTAATAGTTAATTGTACACTCTTACTTTCTTTCTTTAGGTCAGTCAGTTCTTTAATTCTTCCTGGATTTGGGTTTTTGAGCTTGTGGGTTTTGTTTTATTTTTGGTTTTAAGTTTCGAATTTCTCATTCAAGAGATTTTTCGTATACTTATATATATATAGATTGATGTGTTTTTTTTTCTACTTCACACTTTCATAGGTTTTCTTTTGTTTTTTGGTGGAAAGGTAAGGTTAAGCTGATTTCTTGACAGATTTTTAATTGGTTTTCTTATACCTTTGAGTATAGATTTTATATATTTACTTATTCATGTTGTGTATTTGGTTTGGTTTACAAGATGAAAAATTCTAAGCGCTTCTTCCTCTGTCAGTGTGTTAAAGTAGTTTCTTTATGGACAGCCTGTTTAGTGATGTGGGGAGACCATGTTACATATCCTCCTGTTTTTCTGCTTTTCTTTTGCCTTCTTATATTCTCAATTTCTGCCTGCTACTTCTTTTTCTCCTTACTATCCAATCTCTAAAAGGTACCTTTTCCTTCCTTTTGTACCTTTTCACCCAGAAAGCAATTCCTTTAAAAATAAATCACCTTGATTCCCATGCTTTTTTTTTTTTTTTTTGGTACTGGGAATTGAGCTCATGACCTCGTGCTTGCCAGGCAAGTGCTTGTGCCACTGAGCTATACCCCCAACCCCTCCCATGCATTTTAAGTCTTTTCCTGAGGTCAGTTCTGCAATCCACTGATAATCTTTTTATGTTTTCACACTTAGGGTGAGCATTTTCTCTTTGGCAGTTATTTTAGATTAGTCCTAAGCTCGTTGCTTGCTTAATTCTTCGCATGTTTGCACAGAATTTCTTAGACTCTCAGTGTCATATGCAAAAGCTTGCAGGGGTCTGTGAGAGAGCATTCTGGGATTATGTGAGCTGACATACCACTGTGTATTAGTTTGTATTGTGCTGCTTTGCTGTTTGTTTTACTAGTTCTAAAAGTCCTTTGGTAAAGTTCTTTGGGTCTTCCAGGTAAAGAATATTATCTGTAGATAGAGTAATTTGACTTTTCCCTTTCCTATGTATAGCCCTTTTATTTCTTTCTTGCCTGATTGCACTGGCTAAAGTTTCAAGTACTGTACTGAACAAGAGTGGTGAGACTGGACACCTTGTCTCACTCGTGATTTTAGAGGAAGTGCTTTCAGTTTTGACTCCTCCAGTGTAATGGCCAAGAGTTTATTTTGTGTGGCTTTTATCAGTTTGAAGTAAGGTCCTTCTCTACCTATTTTCATCAGGGTTTCTCCTCATTATGGATCATGTATTCCTCTTTGCATGCCTTTTCTTCTTTCAGTACTGGGAATTGAACCTGGGGCCTGTGCACTAAGCTACACCCCCCAACTCTTTTTGTATTATTTTAAATTTTGACACAGGGTCTTGCTAAATTGCCTAAACTGGGCTTGAATTTGAGATCTTCCTGCCTCAGCCTCCCAAAAGTGCTGAGATTACAAGCATGAGTAACTATGCCCAGCTCTGGTTTTTTATTCTATACTTGTTGGTTGCTGGATATTTTTGTGTTCAATTAATATTCTTTAATCATATTTTGCAATAATAAGTAAGAGCTTTGTTTTGAAAGTAGTTTGATCCTCTTAGGTCTTTGTTTCAGGATAAGAAGTCTCAATACTCATCTTAGTGTTAATTATTTGTACTGTTGAGTTTAGATTCTATGTGTACTTTTAATAGTTCCCTGGATATCATAAAAGTATGTACCTTAGCTCTTGAGTATAGACCACTCTTACTGATTTTTTATGAGTGATGGATGCTATTGCATTTGAAACTTTCAGATGGTCACTTGGTTGTTATTCACATACAGAAGTATGGATTAAACCACACCATGGCAACCTTCTGTAGGTCTCCAGAGTTCTGTTTTTGTGTGCATCTCGCTCCTCCCCAGTACTTTGTCTTTTGCTCTCAAGTTACCTTGATCACTTCAGATGTTCGGCTTCGTGTGCTCAACTCTGGGTGTCTGCCAGAGGTCTCCTGGGTTCCCTCTGTGTGCCATAGCTGTAGGAGACAACTCACTTCCTCTGTTTCCCATCCATTGTCTTAAAAATGGCTCTTTCGTATTTATTAATTTCTTTACTGTTGTTTGTTTCAGACAAGAGGAGGGTAAAACAGGTCCCTGTTACTTCATCCTAGTCCAAAGCAGTATGCTTCTTAAATTTTTATAAACATGATATTTTGTGATTCTGTTGATAAGGCTATAGGCAAGCAGAAAAAGCTAAGGAAAGGATATGGTAACTGTAGAAGAGTGAAATACTAGCCAGTGACTTGAATAACTAATAAGGATTCTTTTTTTAGAATAGGACTGTCTTCAGAGGGGTACATAATAAACAAAAGGAACAAAATTTGCTGATTGCTATTCAGATCCCACTTTGATAGTTTTGCAAATTATTTATAATTTAAAACATTAGTGATGATAGTGATCCTTTATTCTTTGGTCTCTGATTTTTCTTCTGTGTTCTAGCTCTTTTAAATTTTGACTAGATAATATAAAAATATGTAATAGTAAGCTAAGCCATAAAAATGATTGTACCTTTTGGTACAAATAAAAAGAGGTATGCAAGACAGTATTTTGTGTTCTAAATTTATTAGATCCTGGTTCTTATGTATATCTTTAAATGGTCTTGACTATTCTGTTAACTTTGCACGTGACAATTTTGGTCGTGTTGTTAGAAATACTGTGGTCAGCATTTTGATTGACCTATGTTCTCCACATTTCTAATTACTCAAGGAAGTTAAGATTTTCAGTAAGTTGTATTCTTTCAGTAAGTCTCTGCAGAATATAACTGTATTTTTTATATTTTTAACAACTATAATTCTCAAATTCTTCTGTACCTGAATCTTATTTATAGTGTTGTCATATATTCACTTGGTTTTACAGTTATTTACATATGTAATTATTACAGACATCACAGCGGTTTTCTTCAGTTGATGAACAGACAAAGATTCATAAGACTATGTCTCAAGGAGAGATCGCAAAGTTGGTGGTGAGACAGAAGTCTTCAGATTCGGATATAAGGTATAAAGTATGCACAGAATTAGTGGGGTAATAGAATTTTATTTAAAATTAACTAAATACTGAGCTTTGAATTAAATTCATTTACTAGTTTTTCAAGGAAAAAAGCACCAGTAATGACAGACACTAGAAGTTCAAACCTGTGATACGAGCTTTACTTTCCTATAAGTTTAACAGTATGATGAGGGGGAAGTCTGTAAGTCTTTGTATGATTTGTGGGTTTTTTATTGTAAAACAATAGAGAGACCAGATGAGACTGGAAATATGTTCCAGTTTTAGAGTTTGATTTTATTCTAAGTGTTTTAGGAAAAGTCTTCCAGGATATACTTCCATTCTTTTTTAAAGAGCTTGTAGAATTGTTGCTTTTCCAGTAGATATCTTTGTGTTAATTGTATTATATAAGCATTTGGGCCTTCACTGACAACTTCAACACTACAGTGAAGTGTTCTGCTTTGTAATTCTGCCCTAGCCCACTTTCTCACTGACATTAGCGGCAAATTTAGAGATGTTATACTAGAAATCAAAAATTGAGAAACAAGATACTATATAATATAGTAGAAAGAACAGATAGCAGATTAAATATATACATTTAATTTCTGTTTCCTTTCCCCAAATTCCCAAAAAGATCAAACCCACAAAGGACAAAAGAAAAGTAAACCAGAAGTGTAAATGTCTAAATATGTAGGAGAAATTGAATCCTAAGTGTTTAAAACTGAGAAAGAAACAGCTAGCTCACTGACCCATTCCTAGCAGAAAACAAGAAATATACTGTTAAGATAAAACAGATCTTTGGGTTTAAAGTTTACCAAATACCAAAACTAAAAAAAAAATAAAGTAATTCAACCAAATTCCATAGAACTGAAGGATCTGAATTTCTAGATTGGAGGGACCCACTAAGTACCTAACATAATGGATGAAAATAGATCCATCAAAAAACATTATAAAACAAGAGAAAAAAGGAATCTCCATTGTGATGATGATATGAAAGTATCTTTTCACATAACAGCAGCATAGGAAGCAACAAGGGGGAAGCCACTCCAGATTGAGACAGGTCAGAAACCTCTGGGAGGGATTTCTCCAAGAAGATGAACCTGCCAGAGTTCCCAGTGTGTTTTAACATAGTGAAAAGTGAGGTATACAGACAGTAAGAAAACAACATTTAGAGATCAGTTGTATACAGAAACGTGAAGAAATGTAAGAACGGTTTTCATGAGCCAGAAACTCTCTATGGTAAAATACGTCACACTTCAACTGTGAATATTATTTATATGGTAAAAAATGAATACTGAATAGTACTCAATGTAAATACTGAATATTAATCTAACTAAAATTACAGCCGGGTGTGGTGGTGCATGCCTGTAATCCCAGCACTTGGGAGGCTGAGGCAGAGGATTGTTGCGAGTTCAAGACCAGCCTGGGCTACAAAGTGAGCTCAAGGCCAGTGTGAACTGTATGGCGAGACCCTGTCTCAAAAAGACAAAAAAAAGATAGTATTTGTGGTAAAGATAGGATGCGAATGGTGAAACATTCATAATTATTTTCTGTGGTCATGATATGATAGAAATAGAAGCTTATTAAATATCAGAAGAATCAATTATATGAGTTCAGAAGGGTTGCCTCAAAGTAGCAGGAAATGGGGTGAGAGTAACAGAAGAATACTATGTTTGTAATAAGCCTTGCCGAACTGTTTCTCTTTAGTTTAGAAGATAACAAATAGCTAAGTTTAATAATAAGTATTTTGTAGGAGGGAGGATAGGAGAAAGAGACAAAAATAGAGGGGGGAGGAGCGAGCATGGGCTGGAAAACCAGACAGACCTGATTTTAACCTCTACTTCCCTCAGCCCTCTGAGCCCCCACTCGCCCATGTGGGAAATACAGATAATGACACCTCTTCATCATAGCAGTTACAAAAATAAGAAATACTGTATAGAAGGCATAATACATATCCCAATAGATGCTCAGATTTTTAAAGCTTCATTTTAATGCCCTTATTCACAAATCAGTGTACAAATAAGCCTCCTACTACAAGGTTAGAATACACAATCTACAGTCAATAAATGTAAGTTGTTATTAACTCAAGGTAATAATGCCTTGATTTGTATGGTGAAAGACAGTACATAAAGAGGCAAGATAATACAGTAGGTGCGATTCACAGGTTTGTCACTCACTGGCTATGTAACCTATTTTTAACTCTCCCGTTTTTCACTTATAAATACTTATGGTACAGTTTGAGAATCTCAGCCAGGCATGGTGGTGCACACCTGTAATCTCAGCACTTGGGAGGCTGAGGCAGGAGGATCACTGTGAGTTTGGGGCCAGCCTATGCTACATAGTGAGTTCAAGACCAGCCTGAACTGCATAGTGAGACTCTATCTCAGAAAGACAAAAAAAAAAAAAGAGAGACTCTCTTACTCAAAATGCTTAGAATCATAAGTGTTTCAATTTCAGATTTTTAAAATTTGGAATATTTGAATATATATATATTTTGAGGATAAGACCCAAGTCTAAAGATGAAGAATTCATTTGTTTCATATATATCTTATATACCTACAGGGTGATTTAGTACAGTGTTTTTAGTGTCCCTGCACTTTTACTGTGAATTGTCATTTAAGGTCAGGTTTGGAGTTTTCCACATGTGGTATCATATTGGCACTCAGAAAGTTTTGTATTGTAGAATATTTTGGGTTTCAGATGTTTTGGATTATGAATATTCTACCTGTAAAAGTCTTGTCTTAACTGTTCCTTCCTCCCGCCCCTCCCCTCCCCTCTTTTCTTTTCTTCTCTTTTCATTCTTTCTTTCTCTCTTTTAGGCCTCAGAGAGCTAGGATGAGATTCTGGGCCAAAGGGAAGCAAGGAGACAAGAAGACCACAAGAGTAAAACCTGCCATCCAGTCGGAGGTTCCAGCACTCTGTGCTGGCTCAGATGTGATTCCTGCTCATCAGTTTCCAGAGGGTAAAAACAAACAAAGCGGGGAGTTTGTCTTTATTGTTTCTGTTTTTTGTTTGTTTTTGTTTTTGTTTTTCTGAAAGTTTACTGTTTCTGTAGTATTCATAATAACGTTCCTGTTGGCTGAGTATTCTAATGTAAGACCTAACCAGGATTGTTAAATGCTCCTTAATTGATAAAGTTATATACGTGTATTCAAAGCTCCAAGAATATGTGGTGTAAATGAATGAAGTAACGGTCACTTTAAGAATGGTTGTGAATCTTAAGCAAGGCTTAGTTTTCTAAACTGCAAAAATGTAGCCATTATTCATTTAGTTCAATAAATTGAGTGCTTACTATATACAAGGTACTGTACTAAACATGTTATAATTTTTCCAGGATAGATAGGATTATTATTCTAAACTTATAGATGATTCAGGAATCCAGCACCAGAGTCCATGTTTTTGAGCAGTACTGCATGTCATTTATTAGGTACCTATATATACACCATTTTCTTGCAGATGCCTGGCACTTGGTAATATAGTTAATTTTGGGGGCATGAACAAGAACATACTTGAAAGTACTCAGCAATTACTAACTCCAAGAATTCCAGTAATCCCAATATTAGATTACCCGTTTTTCTGAAGCCTTTTTCTTCTTCAGGCATGCCTGAGAGTTTTTAGCTACTATGTAAACATTGTGAATTTATCTTCAATATGTATATACATAAGAAATAGGTGCATGGTAACGAGTAGGAAAATACTAGCATTGACTAAAATAGAAAGAGGACTTAGGAGGAAGCTGTTATCTCTGATGGAGAGATAGGACAGACCTGATAACAATATGTAAGCAAAAACTTCTCATATTTAGAATAAAATACACAGCAGGGAGGAAAGATCATCAAGCTTTTCATAGGAATGGATAGGCTGGAGCACCTCTTGGCTCTGAAAGAGTAGCAGAGATGTAGACTCTTCTTTTTTGTCTCTTAGGACTTTGTTTCTATTGACTGAAAAACTAATATGGAGAAAAATAATTTATTAAATGGATACTGCAAGTTCAGTTTGGAAAACTTAATTCCTTATGAGTGCATTTCTAAGGTGTTACGTTTCTGATGTCTTGTCAGATTGACCATAATTATTTACAGTTTTTCATTTTTCACAGTTTTTTTACTGCTACTTCCCAAGCAGTTCTTTACTTGAAAATATAAGCAGATTTCATTGTAGGTTTGCTTTATAAGGACACCCTATAAAAAGATTATAGCTTTTTGCTTACATTCAGGTAAAAATGTATTTTTCTGTGGTATTTAATGGTAAATTGAGATTATAGTGTTTCTTTAGAACCATTATAAGAATGGAGCTGACTGCCAAATGAAGTAATTAGATATGTAGTACATTATATAATAAAATTTAAAGCAGTTGATAATGATTTAAATATACTTGTATCTTCATATTCTTTATTCTGGTGTCACATTTGAGATTGTGTTTGTCTCAGTTCCTGCCGAAGGTGGCATTTAGTATGTAGGAGATTACTTTTTGTTTTGTTACCAAAATTAACTTTTAGATAGACAGAGGGTAAGGAGCATACAAACAGGTTTGTTAAACAAGCACTTCCGAAAAGAGGCCATTGTTCTTACGAGGCTTCAGATGGGGCTTGGCAAGTCCTGTTCTAGATTATAATGGATTACATGGAATCTCATTTCTCTGGGGTAAAGAATTGCAGGGGAAAATGGAGTGTTTCTGTGTAATATACAAAGCCAGTTCATTCCAGGGATTCTGTGAGAAATTTAGATAGTTATTTGGGATTTGGATAGGAAAATCCTAAATATAACTATACTCAAAGGTAAGCCAAGTTTCAAGCCCTCACCAGTTACTATGAACAGAGTATTCACAGTTCTAGACTGTAGTGAAGAAGAAATAATGACCAGACTCCTTTCATTTGTTGGACTTGTCCATAGATAGCTGTTCTTTTTTTTTTTTTTTTTTTTTTTTTTTTTAAAGATAAAAGGAGGAAAACATTAACAGACATACAACATTTTACAACATCACAAGCACAATACAGACAATACAGAGTTACAAATAAAGTGGTAGGGAATTAGCAATGGTGGTTGTATTACATATTGATATCTTCAAAGTGGCTTCTCATGAAAACAGATATAAACATGCAATACTGGTCAACCAAAGACTCATTGACAGTTTCTTTCAGCATAGAAATAGAAGACAGAAGAACAACCATGTTATCTATCCTGTATATACATACATACAAAATTTCTCCTTCGTTCCCTTCTCTTTTCCCACATCCCAGAAGCCCTTTACTCTTCAGTGGTTTCCTCATTTCACAGTGTCTCATAGATAGCTGTTCTTTTAAGCAAATACAGTAAAGTTTTGACGGGATTAACAGTGTTAAAATGATTGTGTGGTTTACTTTAGGACTGAGATCTTTGATGTTCTACAGTAAGGCACTTCCAGATTTTTAGTATTAAATCTTAGCTCTTTAAGAGATATGATAGCATTTCTCACTACAAAGTGTTAATTCTTAAATATATTTTCTGTACAATTTTGCAACCTGGAATTATTGCCTGCATGCCTGATTTCAGACATTACTTTGCTTTTCAGATACAGTATTTGCCTATGTTTCTTTCAATGACTTACTGATGGAACGTAAAAGAAGGATACGGATATGATCAATATATTTTACTAAATATATCTTTTGGGGTATCGTATCTTTAGTTGTAGAGTTACCTCAGTACCATCCAACACCTCCTTTGAGTCCAGAACTGCCTGGTGGTGGCCATAAGGAGTTCAAAGAGAACAAAGAACCTTCTCCAAAAGTGAGGCGCAGGCGAAGTGTGAAGATCAGCAATGTGGCTATGGATTCCATACACTGGCAAAATGACTCTATCCAAATCATAGCAAGTGCTAGTGACTTAAAAAGCATGGATGAGTTTCTTCTGAAAAAGGTATATTTTGCTTGCTGAATAAGCCTCTGAAAAGCTTTGGCTGCAGAATGCTTGTATGTAACAGAATTAGACACCTAGAGGTAAAAGTTACAGATGCTTCAGTATGTTAGAGGGTTTGTTCTTTACCTGTGTGCTGTAAATAATTGGCACATTACATTTCACATGTGGAGGTGAGGCTTCTTAGTGCACATTTGGGGTTGTTTTTTTGGTAACCAAGCTGTAAAATCATACCATGTTAGAAGGGATCATAGAAATCATCTGGTATTTGGTTATATATTTACACTTTTACCTTTGTCCCATAGCCTGTTGTTTGCACTTTTAGAGCAGTCATTATTGAAGAGATGATACATTTCTACTGTTACATTTGCTATTATATTTGCCTCTTTAAAAAGAAAAGGTAATTCAAATTGGCCTTGAATTCACTGTGTAGCCCAGACTGGCCTCAACCTCATACGAATCCTCCTGTCTCAGCCTCCCAACTACTGGGATTACAGGTGTGCGCCACCATGCCCAACCTCTTTAAAAACTTTTTATTAGTACCTGTTTGCTGTACATTATTACATTCGTTGTGGGGAGTTGGCACATATATATAGCACACCTTAATTCTTTTTACATCCCCTTCCCTCCCACCTGCACCTTCCATCTCTTGGTCCTCTTATAAATGCCTCTTTAATTAGTTGATTGTGTACAATTCTTTCTGTGGTTCCTAGATGAATGACCTTGATAATGAGGACAGCAAGAAGGATACATTAGTAGATGTTGTATTTAAAAAAGCCCTGAAAGAATTTCGGCAGAATATCTTCAGCTTTTATTCATCTGCATTGGCGGTAAGTTCTGGGTATGTTAGGAGGTTTTGAGTAGTTCAGTATCTAAAATTTTGATAATATTCTACTTTTAACTAGAGGTATTTCAAGTTCCTTTTTCTGTTTTAGGGATAAGACAAAAAGTTAAGGACAAGAATAGTGAATGACCTCTGATTAAGTGTCTAAATTCCTTTGAGTAGTTTCCCCTAATCCCTCATTTTGACTTGTCATGATCCTTTTAGCTCTGTTGGAATCTATAACTTGTAATTCTCTGTTGTGTGAAATGTATTATACATTTTCCCCCAGTAGAATTGGGGCAGTGTGTGTTCACTGATTTTTGTATAGCATTTTTTGTCACTTTTAAGTTTACCTTACACTTTTATAGGGTATTTGTTATGTTTTAGAAAATTAAATTTTGTTGCTAAAGTATATAATAATATTTGGCCTATGACTCACCATTAGTATTTATTAATTATCATATTTATTTTATAACATAGTAATTCATAACTTTTTCTGTATTTTTGCTTTTGGTCACTTTTATTCACTGTGAAAGGGGAAATCAAGACCACTTATTAGTATATACTCTATTTTTGGTACTTTTCTCAGCATAAGGTTTTTGCTGCTTAAAACAGGAAATCATAGAGCCAAAGCAAGCTGGAAATTTAAGACTTTAATAGCCAGGTGTGGTGGCACATGCCTGTAATACTGGCACCTGGGAGGCTGAGGCAGGAGGATTGCTGTGAGTTTGAGGCCAGCCTGAACTGTATAGCAATACCTGTCTCAAAAAAGACCAAAAAAAGAAGAAGACTGTAACAGAAATAATCAGCTTATGACAAATAACTAGGTTTGAGGAGGGAGAAGATTGTCCCCTTTTTTTAGTCCTGTCCAGGTACTTAAAAATCTGATGTTGTTTTCGGCTTCATAATTCCTTCATACCTATTATTAGGTACTCAAAGTGTTGAATACTCATGTGCCCTGAATCACATAGCAATGGACAGTATGTGAAACAATGCAAAATAGTTGTTTTGTAATACTGTATCAAAAAAGTTTAACATCCAAAACTGAGGAAAATAAGTTTTAAATGTATATAGTACTTTCTGATGAGCAAAGGCTTTTTTTTCCCTTCTGGATTTCATTTAAATGAATTGAAAGGAATTCCATTTGATTCTTGTGCAAATAATATGGTCTTTGTGAGCTAATCAGTCTTCTTCAGAAAATAAGTTGAAGGTTATCTAATGTATTATTAGGCAAAGATCTAAGTATATAGTCTTTATTGTAGAGTAGAACTGTCTAAACAAGGTCATTTATGTGGAAATTAGTAACTCAGAGTGATGCAAACCATTTTTACAATTTTACAGTCAGTCATACAAAATTGGAAAGACAGACTTAAGGGAGCAGTTCTCAGGACTTGCCCGGTTATTACATTGTTCAAGCTGCTAGGCTATTTCAAAAACTTAGGTTTTATTCTGGTTCCATTCCTACACTAGAGTGGGAGTTTCAGATGCTATGTGACCACATGACCATGGTTATTAGAAAGTGTATCAGGAGCTTAATCTTTACTCTAAATATAGTATTATTCATTACAAGTTTATGTAGACTTTGGTATTTAACACATTTCCACCAGCTTGAACCATTGGTGGTACATGCATGATTGCCCCATCTGATGGCATGGTACAGTCGTGCATGTGTGGTCTCATCGTGAGTGTGTTAAAGAATTCTTCATGAAATCTTACATTTCTTATTTCTTTTTAGATGGATGACGGGAAAAGCATACGGTATAAAGACCTCTATGCACTGTTTGAGCAGATTCTGGAAAAGACCATGAGGCTCGAACAGCGTGATTGGAGTGAATCTCCAGTGAGAGTTTGGGTCAACACTTTCAAAGTGTTTTTAGATGAATACATGAATGAATTCAAGACTTCTGATAGCATAGCTGCCAAGGTAAATGTGATATATTTTGATACCTAAAAAGATGCAATTATAAATTCTTTTTAAGAATCTGTTTAGGACATCTGATATTTAAGAAAAACATTTACAGAGAACATGTCAACTTAGCATTACTGTAGATACCTTGAACTCTTTTCTGTCTTAAAAGTTTGTCAGACCGTATTTTCTTTTCTTTTCTTTTCTTTTCTTCTCTTTTCTTTTCTCTTTTTTTCTTTCTGGTGTTACTGTTTTTGTTGTACTGTTGAACTAGAGATTGAACTTAGTTAGGGCCTTCACACTGAGCTATGGCCCCAGTCCTTTTTTTAAAATTTTTTTTTCTGAGAGAGGGTCTTTGTAAGTTGCTTATTGCCCAGACTGGATTGGACTTAAACTTATAATCCACCTTTCTCAGTCTTACAGAGAACTAGAATTACAGGGTGCATCACCAAGCCCTGCTTATGAAACTGTATTTTCTAAATCCTCTGTAATGAGTACATTCTTCACTGAGTTAAATATATAAGGTTGTACCCTCAAGATTGTGTTCTCAACTTTAATAGAGACCAGTACCTGAATTTGCTTTAAAAAACATTGGTTAAAAATATTTTTCATTGTAGTATCTAGTAGTCTTTATCCTGCTCTCATAAATTATACTTCCTCTTGAATAAGTTTTTAGGAAAATAAGTGTTTTACTAAAGGTTATTATTTTATACAAAAGATTTGTACTTATAAGGTATTATCAAAAAATATGACTGTTTAAGAATGTATTACAGTAAAAGATATATAGCTATTTATCCCCCTCAAAATATTCCTCTTTCCTTGAAACATACTATCCCATAACTTTCCCACTTTGCAAAGCAATTCTGGAAGTCCTCTTTCATGACTGTCTCTAGTTGCATTGCCATAGCTCCCTTAATGTCTGAATCAATCGAAAACAATTTACTTTTCATGCCCATTTTGACTTTGGGGAAGAGCAAGCCATCACAGGGTGCTAGATCCAGTGAATAAGGTAGATGAATGCACATCGTAATTTTTTTTACCAGCCCACCTTTCAATAGGCTCACACAGTAAGGCCTTCATGGCCAGGCATGGTAGTGCACACCTGTAATCCCAGAACTCAGGAGGATTGCTGTGAGTTCAAGACTAGCCTGGGCTACAAAGTGCACTCAAGGCCGACCTTTCTCATAACCTGTCTCAAAAAGGCCAAAAAACCCCCTAATGGTTAAAATAGTCATTTACATTAGTAATAGTGTGACTTCTGGACAGAACTGAGATTTCAAAATCATCTCTCTGTATCTTTCCATTTTGTTGCTTTTATGAGCACTATACATTTTCTTTTAAAGCATAAGGAGTTGTTTATTACCTATTGAACAAACAACTCAACATTTGCAAAGAAGCAAGAAAAGATGTTAGTCTTTGTTACCTTAGTTTCTTTATTTCTGCCTACCCTTTCCAGGTGCCAAAAACTGAAAGAAAGAAAAGACGGAAAAAAGAAACTGATTTGGTAAGTCTTTTTATGTTATGAGAAAGGAACTTTCAGATCAACGTGTTGAATATCACATAGTATTTCTCTGGATATACTGTATTTAAGGAATAGGTTTGTTAGGTACTTAACGTGTTTCCATGAGCTTGAACCATTTAAGTCACCTGCCCAGCAGCAAGATGTACAAATGAAGGCCCCATCGTGACAGTGTTAAGTCATATATGTCTTTAGAATTATTTAGAATGACACTTGTGCCCTGAATTTGGTAGCATGAGTTGTTCTCAGTGGTGGCTTTCTAAAATAGACAATTTAAAATGTTTACTTATAAAGGTACAAGCATGATCTCTTATCTAACTAGGGATACTGTTTTTACAATTTTGCTTTCTGTGAGCAGCTCATAAAAATGGAAGCATGTAATGTGTGGTTTTTTGCATGACTTCTTAGCATGTTTTTGAGGTCCACCTGTATTGCATATATTAGTAGTTCATGTTTTTTAGTTCTGAGTGGAATTCTATTATGTGGATATATCATATTTTATTTCTCCTTATCAAATCACAGATGTTCAGATAGTTTTATTTTTTGACTATTAAGAATAGTGATGCTATGAACAATCATGTATAAATCTTTTTATGCACGTATGCTTTGAGTTCCCTTAGATACAAACCTGAGAGTTTAGTTTCTGGCTCATTTAGTAACTCTAAAGGTTAAAATTTTCAGAAATTGCCAAACTCTTTTCCAAGTGATTATTCTGCCATATAGTCTAGAGACTTCTTTCTACATCCTCATCAGTGCTTGTTATTGTTTTTTTATAGCCATTCTGGTGGGTATGATTTAGTATCCTACTGTAGTTTCAATTTGCCTTTTGCACATAATTAATGGTAATAACTATCAATAGATCTTCTCAGTGTCTATTCGCCTTTTGTACTTCCCTTTACTGAAATTTCTATTCAGTATTTTAACCATTTTTAATTGGGTTGACATTGTGTTATAATATTTCATTATATATTGAGGAAGTATTTTATCATGTACAGTATATGATTTGTAAATATTTTCTGTTCATCTGTGCCTTTTTTTCTTAATAGTGTGTTTGAAGGTTAAAGTTTTAAATTTTAATGAAGGCTAAAACAGTAGATAATGTTACACAACATAAATTCATTGATATGGTTTTTCTATATTACTACCTATGTATAATACATAATGCTTACATTCCTCCTGTGGAGATGGTACATGTGTACAACACATCTTAATCCCTTTTCTCATCTCCTTTTCCTACTCTCCCTCCCACTACCTTCCACCTCTTGATTCTCTTTCCATTTGAGAAAGATCTCTGTACTTCCTATAATCTTTTATTTTGCTCTTTATTTATAATTTGGGTTGCCCATATAAAAGAAACCATGCAGTATTTGATCTGTGTGTCTGATTTATTTTACTTAACATTATGGTCTAAAGGTACATTCATCTTCCTATAAATGACTCAAGTTGATGTTTCTTTATAGCAGAATAGTACTCCATTGTGTATAAAAACATTTTCTTTGTCCATTCATCTGTTAATGGAGATGTAGGCTGCTTCAAAATTTAGCTGTTACGAATTGTGCTGCTGCAAACGTGGTATGCATGTATCGCTGTACCATGATGTCTCCAACTTTTTTGTGGATCATACCTAGAAGGGGAACACCTGGGTCAAATGGAATCTCTAGATTTAGTTTTGTGAGAAATCTCCATACCGATTTCCATGGTGATTGTACTAGTTTACATCTCTGCTAATAGTGTACAAGGATTCTTTTTTCCCCTTAAGGCTCACTAGCGTTTGTTATTATTTGATTTCTTGGTGATGACCATTCTTTCTGGGGTAAGGTAGAATTTCAGTGTTGCTTTATTTTGCATTTCTCTAATGGCCAGTGATGTTGAACATTTCTTCATGTATTTGTTGGCCATTTGTACTTTTTGTGTGAAGAGTTGCCCACTGTTTATTGTTTTGTTTTGTTTTTTGTTTTTACTGCGGGGGCTAATTTTTAAAAATTGTTTATGTATTCTAGGTATTAGTCCTGTCTGAGGAATGACTAGCAAAAATTTTTCCTTGTTCTGTAGATTGTTTTTTCATTCTGTTGATTGTTTCTTTTGGTGTGCAGAAGCTTTTAAATTTGGTATGTTCCTATTTGTTGATTCTTGGTACTATTTCCTGCGTTACAGGGTCTGTTGAGAAAGTTCTTGTTTGTGCCTTATGTCCTCAAGAGTTTTACCTATTTTATCTTCCAGCAGGTTATTTCTGTTTTAACATTTAGTTCTTTGATCCTTTTTGATTTTGGTTTGGCACATGGTAAGAGATATGGGTCTAGATTCAGTCGTCTGCAGTGGATAGCCAATTTTTTGAACACTATTTATTAAAGAGACTATTTTTTCTCTAGTGTATGTTCTTGCCCCTTTGTGAAAGATCACATAACTGAATGTGTTTGTGGTTGTTTCGGCATCCTCTGTTATGTTCCGTTGACCCTCCTGTCTGTTTTTGTACTAATACCATGCAGTTTTTATCACTATATGTTTGTAATATAACTTCAACCCCAGGATTGTAATGCCTCCTGCTTTGCTCTTTTTAACCAGAATGGCTTTTGCTATTTCGAGTCTCTTCTGGTTCCATATGAATTTTAGGATTATTTTCTCTAGTTCTATAAGGAATGCGGCTATTATTTTGATTAGGATTGGGTTAAATCTGTGTATGAATTTTGGAAGTATATCCGTTTTGGCTATAAATGTTCCAGAAACGGAATATATATCCAGAAACAGGGAATGTCTTTTAATTTTTCTGGTGTCTTCTTCAATTCCTTTTTCAGAGTTTTTATTGTAGAGATCTTTCACTTCCTTAGTTAGGGTAATACCTAAGATGATTTTTCTTAATGCTATGATGAATGGTATTTGTTTTCCTAATTTTTTTCTCAGTGGTTTCATTATCAGTGTACAGCAACACTATTGATTTTTGTGTGTTCATTTTGTATCCTACTACATTACTGAATTTGGTTATTCTGAGAGTCTTTTGGTGGGGTTTTTGTGGATCTTCTGTGTAGAGGATTGTCTTACCAGCAAAAAATGAAAATTTGACTTCTTCCTTTCCTATACATATGCCTTTTATTTCTTTTTCTTACCTAATTGCTGTTGCTAATGTTTCAGGTACTATGTTGAACATGAGTGGTGATGATGGACTTCCTCATCTTGTTCCTGATTGTAGAGGAAAAGCTTTCAGGTTTTCCCCATTTAATATGATGTTGGCAGTAGGTTTGTGATAAGAGGCTTTTATCAGATAGAGATAAGTTCCTTCTAATACCTGTGTTTTCAATGGTTTTTTTAATAGTAGAAGGATTTTGGATTTTGCCACAAGTTTTTTCTGCATATTTTGAGATGATCATATGATTTTGGTTCTTGTTTCTATTTCTATACTGTATTACTTTTCTTGATTTACATATGTTAAGCCATCCTTGCATCCTTGGCATGAACCCTAGTTGGCCATGATGTATGATCTTTTTGATGATTTGTTACATTCTGTTTGCAGTATCTTGTTGAGGACTTTGCATGTATGTTCATTAAGAGATTGGTTTATACGTCTCCTTTTTGATTGGATCCATGTGTGGTTTTGGAATCAGGGTAATAGTAGCTTCTAGGAAGGACATTAGGCGACTCCTTCCCTTTCAAGATGTATTGGGGTTGGATCTTCATTGAAGTTTTTATACATTTCATTAGTGATCCATTCAGACCTAGCTCATCTTACTGAGTAGGTTTTTTTATTTCATTGCTTTTTATTGGATTAGTCAATGTTTTAAAATCTCCTTGGTTCCGTTTTGGTAATTTGTATGTATGTAGGAATCTGTCCATTTCTTCTGTAGTTTCCAGTTTTATTGGCATATAGACTTGTGAAGTAGTTGTTGATTTTAGGCAGTATCCATTGTGATTTTAACTTTTTCATTTCTTGTTGCATTGATTTGGGTCTTTTCCGTCTTTTTATTAGACTGGAATGGCTTTTGAAGTCGTATTTTTTTTAAATTTTTTATTATTCCATGTTTGCAGTACATAATGGTTACATTCATCATGAGGAATTGGTACATGTATATAATGCCTCTTAAATTCTCTTTTTCATCCCCTTGCTCTCCTCTCCCTTCCTTCTTCCTTATATTCACATTGTAATTAATCATTTGTTAAGTCTTCATAGTAGTATCATTGTCTGAAAGGACTAGCAAAGTATTCCTCCACTTTCCAGTTTCCTATCTTTATGAAGTGGGATTGTCTTCATGTTGTTCAAACTCAGTTGCATGCTGCAGTAGATGAAGGGTAGAAGTAGGGCAGAGTCCAGGTGTCTTTCAGTAAGACAGACATTCAAGAGGTTTACAAAAATGGAGAACTGTACTCCCCTTTTGTCTAATGTCTTTGCTTTAAAGATATAATGGTCTTTCATGGCAGCATTACTTACGCTAAGCTGTAACGTTCACTCATTTTCAGTGAGTTCAAGGGAAATGCTGTCACATTTCTTCAGTCTTTATTTCTAGTGTACTAGGGTTCTCAGGCAACAGAAATCATTTGAGGTCATCAGTAATTTTCAAAGTGGGAGAGGTTCCTGAGGCTAAAAACAAAAGGAAACAGGTGTGAGAAGTGCTGCTTTGAATTGAGCATGCGGACTCGGTCACATAAGATAGCAGTTGTGTTGGCCGCCTTGCCTTGTTTTTTGTATAAATTGGTCGTACTTATCAATCTTGTTAGCTTTTGGAAACAAGACCCATATATTTTATTTCTCAGAAGACTGTAATTCTCCCCCGGAATAAGTATCCAGTGAAGATTTAGGAGGGGATTGGAGGATTTCCCATTGCTGACCATGTTAGGGAGGCATTTTGTGTACTGGGTTTAAAATAAACAGTTGACTTTTTTCACTCAGGTGGAAGAACACAATGGTCATGTCTTTAAGGCCACTCAATATAGCATCCCTACTTACTGTGAATATTGTTCTTCTCTGATATGGATAATGGACCGAGCCTCAGTTTGCAAATGTAAGTATGAGAAATCTTTGAGGAATTTTTTTTAACTATCTAACATCTCTATATCCTTGAGTTTTTCTTTAACATGAAAGAATAAATCATACTACCTACTCTTTTTTTTTTTTAATCCTGCTCTTAGTATTATATTCTGTGTTACCCATTCTGTGTATTCAAACAGGATATTTGGTATTACTTGGTCCTTGAAAGCTCACTCTATCTGAACTGTTTCTCCCCTACATTTAAGTATGATTTCTTTTTCAGTAAATTCATGTTTTCACCCATGTTACCTCCCTGTCAAAGAGCTCTTTGCTTACTCTCCTACCTAAACCATAACTCTATTCTCTAATCCCTTCCTCTGATTTGATAGTCCTTTTAACACTTATTATTACTTTCATTAAAGTGTTACTTAGGTTAAGCTGCAATATGTTAGTACGAAATAATATTAAATGCTCATTTGTTTTCTTGATATTCAGTCTATCCTAATATGGTTATGAAACTTACTTGTCTCTTCAGTTTTACCCATGCATAGAACATTTCTGGCATATAGTGGGTTATTATAATATTTGTTGAGTAGATGGATGGATGTACTGCTGGATGAATGGATGGATGGATTCTTAGATTATAGCCAAAAAGGTACTTTCTCAACTGTAGTCCATTCACCAGAATATGTAAATCCTAAAAATGTGTGAAGAGATTTCTCATAGGTCACCTTTACTCTGGCTTTAGCTCACATTCCTCTCATTTATTATTTGTTCTTATTCTATCAGTAGTTAGTAATTCTGTGAGGCTTTGCTTTTATTAGCAGGCCAGAATTGAAGGAAAGAAATATTAGGCAGGACTGGGACTTCCAAGGCAAACAGAAACACCAGAATGACAGAAACACAGAATGACTCAGGATTTGGAGGCAAGCTGGGTGTGGTGGCGCATACTTGTAATCCCAGCACTTGGAAAACTGAGGCAGGGGATTGTTGCAAGTTCAAGGACAGCCTGGGCTACAAAGTGAGCTCATGGCCAGCCTGAACTGCGTAGTAAGACCCTGTCTCAAAAAGACAAGGAAAAAAAAAGGATTTGGAGGCAGATTTATTTTATGTTGTACAGGCACTGAGTAGGAAGCAGTTATTCCTCAAAATGTCAGGCACTGATCTTTGGTGGTCTAGGGCTTATATGAGATAAGCAAGCAGGAAGTACAGAGGCAGAATGGCTTGTCAGTGGGGATTGCTTCCTACAGTATGCATCATGGGTACCAGCCATTTCTAAGAAACAGAAACAACTGGCACTGGAACAGGAACCTGGGCAACTAAGAAACAGAAGTACTGGCTTGGGGGAAGGATTTTCTGTTACATTTTCCCCCTTGTTTAGTTTCCCTGCAAATCTTCCTTGGGCATATTACATGTACTCTTTTGAGACAAGACCCAACTAGAAGCAGTAACATTAGGGTTGTCAGTGCACCTAGCCAAGGTCCCCAGGATTGTCTTATTACAGAGTTTTCCCCCAAGTTGCTTTTTAGGAAGAAACATAATTTAGGCCATTCTGTTCTGTAACATTATTCTGGCAAGGGAGTAAGGGAATCAGTCTGATCTCAGAGAGTGTCCAGTATGCTTTGGATGCTCATCAAATCTTGGTCAAGTGTTTGATTGTTCTATTCTCTTGGGGCAACCATCTATAGAGTTTAAGGCAGAAACCACAGCTAGCAAGGGGTGAGGAAGCAAGGGTTGGGTTAAGCAGCCTGAAAAGACACAAAAATCGAGGGGAATAGGTATAGAGCAATCCTGTGAATGATGTCCTCAGGTTTCAGCCGTGTATGGTGTATCAGTCAGGGTTTTACTGGAGAAACAGATATAACACAGGATGTAGAAATTACAAGATTGGCTTACGACGGTCAGCCAGAGAGTTGTATGGGGAAGTGTGCAGAGGATGTCTGCACACTGAAGACAGAAGGAATCAGTCCAGGGTCTGGAGTTCACTGCAGAGTTCCTTGCAAGTCCTTACCAGGAGGCTGATGAGTCTGTGACGGAAGGCTGAAGGATCCAAGGTGGAAGCCGAAGAGTGTACTAGAAGCCAGGAGACTAAGTCCAAGCTGAAGGTGAAGACTGGAGCTCCTCCAAAAGGAATGGAAGTACCTCCGTCCTTCTTCATTTCCTTTTATATTACCTAGGTGATGATCCACCCTACGGTGGCTCCTCTACACCCTAGGGTGTAGAATTGCTGAGCCAATTGCTGAGCCAAGTTTAGTTATGCTTCTAAACTTCTCAAGTTGACATAATTAATCAGCCACTACACATGGACTGGTCAGAGTCCAGAGTGACCAGAGTAGGGCTTTGAGTGTATTGTGTCTTCAGAGTGAGCTATCTGATCCAGGTAAATTCTTCAGTGGATCTAAGGCTGGATTTCTGAAACTTGTAGGTGTAGTTAATATGTGCCTGGGTTATATGTGTGTGCAGGAGTGCCTAAAGGTATAGCTGATCCTTTTAGCTAAACTTTTGTGGAGCTAGTTATAAGCTATTTCTGCACTATACTGTATGAGGCCAGGGCCAGTGGCACAGATGCTGAAGCCTGGGCTGGCTGCAGGGGTACAGGTGCCAGCATTGCAGCTTGAGCTTGCAGAATATACAGTGGGGGCAAGTCTGGTCACTGGGGTTGATGTTTCAGTCAATGGGATCTTTGGAGGGAACTTAAGCCTCTGATTTGAATTATTTTGTATTGGTTGCAGATTTCTAAACAGCATCAGGAAGCAGTAGCAGGAGAATTTTAGCCAAAATAGCTTTGTCCAAGGTGACCACAGCATATCTAGCCTGTCAGACTCTATTCCTAACAGAGCTCCCATCCATAAACAGGGTGTACTTAGCATCTGATGGGGTTTATTTTTCAGTAGGTCCAGTACAGCAATGTGGTACCTGGACAGTTAAATCTCTGCCTAAGGTGAGCTTGTCAGTTTTCTTGACCAGAAGGACAGTGGCTGTTAGAGCATGGGGGTAGGGAGAGTTTAGTGACTGGTTGCAAGTATTTGCACAGGTAGGCCGCTGGGCACTCCCAGGTGCTGACAGGCATCATTGTTTTTGTAAATTCAAGGATCCAGACTCTATACAAGCCAGCAGCTCCAAGGAATTTGTGGAGTTTCTTTCTTGCAACCAGTTTCTGCCAGATATTGTAGCAGAGATTTTGTGCCTTTCCAGCAGGCAGCTCAGGTGTCATTCATTAGAAGTACAGTGATCTTCCTCAAAGAGGGTAAATAAATTTTTGAACCTCTGGGAGGTTGACTCCTGGTCAGTTAACCTTAGAGTCCAGAGCTGAGGTCTTTGTGAAGAGGGGCTGGCTAACAGGAGCCAGCTGAAGGTAGAAGAAAGCATTCTTTAGGTCCAGAAGACTGTGGGTAGCAGAAGACTGAGGCAGCATATATGGAGAGCAATTGCGGTGGCATTGACAGCTTGGAGATCTTGAACTGGTTTTACAGGCAGGAGCAGTGTATTTTAGCAGTTATTTTGCAGTTTTGAAGCCTCATTTTTTTTTTCCTTCTCAGTGGATCATGATGGAGCTATAAGGGACAGAGAAACAGGTTATCTCAGGGAAAAGTTGCTAGGGCCTCCTTGAAAACAGTGGGAGAATTCCCAAATCCTTGTGGCAGTGGAGTAACAGTCCAAAAAGGGTGTATGGGTTGGGAATTGCAGAATGCAAGGTGATGGCTGTGTTGCTGATGGCATGGATATCTTACGCAAGGTAATTAACAGTCTGTCAGGCTGATGTGTGGCTGGATGCCTGTTTGTGTTTCTCAGGACATCCGACAGCAGCATGGGTCATGGCGAGGCTGCATGGTTGATGGTCAGGCCCAGAGGTGAGTCTTTAGTTTATACCTCTGGGAATAGAGTTTTCAGAACTTCAGAAATGTGGTTATCTGTCTCAGGCTGATGCAGGCATCATCTTCCTCTCAGGGAACAAAGTTGAAAGTACAGGGTTAAATGAAAGGGAGGTTGACTGGCTTGGTGCAAAGGAGATGCTTGCTTCTAACTTGAGGAAAAAGTTTTTTTTCAGAAGCAGTATGGGGACTGGCTTATACAGGAATTTATGTTTGATAAGATGTCCTTCTAAGCTGCAAGTTTGTGCCCGGCAGAAGAAGTGAGAAGCAAGAGTCCCAGTTGCCTGTGATGGTAGCTTTTTGACAGAGGGAACTTTTGAACGCAGAGTTCTGTTTCATTGTCTACCAGGAAAGTCACAGGTTTGCCCCCTGACTTTTGCTATGACCACGGGCTCTTGGGTTCAGTTTGATAGAGCTTGGTCTGTCCTATCCATCCAGGCCCAGTGTGCTGAGGAGAGGTTCAGGTTGAGGTGGGCCTGGATAGTCAGGTATTTTGTATCTCGCAGATGGAGGGGGCATTTATCTTTGTGTCCATAGCTTGTGTAACTCATAACCAGAGGGTATGGTTGTCTGTCAGGCTGGATTTTCTTATGGACATCCGATGCTTTTTTATCCGGTATCTGGGTAACAGTGGTTGATGGGCTTTTTGTCCTCCTCTTTGATGTCTTTGAGAAGTGCTTGACTAGGTTGTTTCTAGGCAAGGTGACCTTGGAAAGGCCATCACAACTCATTTGTCAGGGCTGACAGTCCAAGTTTTCCTCAGTCAAAATGTGGACATTTCTGTGTTGATTAGACTCAAAAGGAATTGCTGACAGCTATCTTGGGTGGGCATTAGATGATGCCATCTGACTGGGATAGGTGTGTAAGCAGAAGGCTCTGGAGGGGGAGCCTCTGTGCCCAATTACAGGCAGTGGCTAGCTGGAACCAGTTCAGCAGGCTGGAAGTAGATGAGTCAGGAGGAGGGAACGAAGCTATAGGTGTTGGCAGGAACTGTGGTGGCCAACAAGGGTACCAAGGTGGAATTCTCAGGAAAAAATGGGCCTCATTTTTCTTTTTCTTTTTTCTTTGAGATGCAGGGAGCAGTGTGGTTTCCTTTTTAACTCCATAAAAACCCTTTTTCTTGCAGCCAGGGACTGTGAGTTTTAACTAATTAATTCCCATCTCTGACTTCCTATGTGTGTGTTCTGTACCCTTGAATGATGGAGCAACAAGAGTGGGTGCCCCTAAGAGAGAGACCATACAGATGCCCACCTCATGGGGACTTAGGCACAGTTTAGCTAAGGAGAGTGCAAGGCCTCATTTATGCCATATGTCAGTTGCCACAGAACCACAGGTGAGGGCCCAATCAGCCACCTCAACCAGTGCTTCTGTCTTAGTGCACAGATGGAGCAGCCTGTTGTTTACACTGTCCATTCCATTCACTCACACATTCAGCAGGCACACAGAGGTTAAACATTCTAACCCCTCTTCCCTTGAGGGTGGCCTTAACTAACAAGAGTTAATCTGCTCTTTTTGCTCAAGCTGAGCAGGACTGACAGACTAACTGGGGTTCCCCTGGAGGTCTTACTGGAATCAGGCAGGCAGACAGACAGATTTTTGTCCTCCTCCCTTTGGGGTCCAATGTGAGCCACTCAAGCAGGGAGCCAGAAATCCTCCAGACCTCCAAGGGGACTTAAGAAATCTTGAGAGTGCACCTTTCCATCAGGACCTAGAGAGGTCTTTGCTCCATCTGCAAGGGCCGCAACCAGGGCCCAAAGAGGTCAGCATGGTTGGTCTTCCTGGCCAATGCCCCAGATGCTACAGCAAACAGAAACACCAAAACAACACGCAGGAAACAACACGTGGGATTTAAGGCAGACTTATTTTACATCGGACAGGCACTGACAAGGAATCAGTTGTTCCTTGGAATGTTAGGCCCTGATCTCTGGTGGTCTAGAGCTTATATGAGATAAGCAAGCAGGAAGTACAGAGGCAGAATAGCTTGTCAGCTAGGGATTGGTTCTTATAATGTGCATCACAATGACCAGCTGTTTCTATGAAATATGAGCAATTGGAACTGGAACAGGAACTCTTACCTGGGCAACTAAGAAGCTGAAGTATATTAGCTAGGGGGGCATTTTCTGTTATAGGACCAGTGTCCCAGCAATAATAAAAGTCATTTTACTATAGCAAAATCACCAGTTTCTTGAGTCTGTTGCTTGGTTTTGTGGTTTAACAACAGTTTTCTCCTTTTTTGTTTCTTTTTAAAAATAATAGACTGCTTCATCAGTTTGCATGTCATCCTTGGACAAATCTCTGTGTAATTCCAGTTTTAGTATGTTCTACCAAACCAAGCACTTCTTTTCATTTTATTATCAGTAGTCTAAAAAATTATAAAGAAAGTGAATGTATGAAGTAGTTTAAAATATACTTTACTATTTATTAGTCTAGTTTTTGAAGTTTTAGAGTCATTTCTTCTGTGACCCAATGCTGAAAATTTAAGGAATTTGACCTTTTATGACTTTGGGTGAAGCTGTTTTGATTTCTCATGGAATTAAATTTTTTTTGTAATTTTCATGATGACTGCACCAATATAGTGACATTATCTTGCCTGTTATGGCAAAATTCAGTGAGCAAGCACCTATGAGACACCAAATATAGGAACAAACAAAGCTTTATTGGAGCCGGTGACTGATACCCTGACAAAGTCAGAATACAAAATGTCAGCTCTCAGATCTGGACTTCGCTTCCAGTTCAAATAACATTTTGGTTTCCATAGTAACCATATATCAAGGGTTTCTGACAAAAGGTCACAAGATTTATACTTCCCAGGTATTCATTAAACAGGATGCAGTTAATCTTAGCTTATTCACAGTTTGTTTTATCTATTGGTTCCTCTAGAGAAAAGACTTGTTCCTCCTCTTATGGTTTTGTGGTTAGGTAAAAGGGAGAGGTGAGGAGTGAGTTCATCTAAAGTTTAAGTGACCTTTTAAAATGGAGTTATAAAAAGAAAATGGATTCTGTCTTGCCCTATCACCCCTACTTGATCTTAGCTTTGATATCCAGGTATTGGTGTGCATTAGCCAGAGCTGGTGAAGGAGAAAGACATAGGCCAGCTGTGCTCACTGTATCCTCTTCCTCATGTATCTCTCTCTCTCCCTGCTTACTAGCTCTCTACCCACCCTGTTAGCTACCACTCCAAGAAAGTATTTTTGCTCTGAAGTTTTTATTTGTCTCATTTTCCCCATCACAACTTCTATTTTTATGTTCTGGTTCTTACAGAGCTCTGTTCTAGACTTTTGGAGATAATAGATTAAGGCATTTCTGACATTTTAGCAGGTTGTAATACACCCAGGAAAAGATTAATACTAATTTGTGAATCCAAGCACAAAGATAGGCAGTTTTCCTTTTGGAACTTGGGAGTTAACTTCAGGAACAGGACTGGCATTCCTGAAAGAATTTCAAAGCCTTTTTTTTTAATAGTGACTGGAAATGGTAGGTGTGTTTTTCCAACTTCATTTTACCCAGTAAAGTGGGTTATAAATCCCTCATTGTTGTTAACACAGTGCAAAGTGGTGTGTGTGTGTGTGTGTGTGTGTGTGTGTGTGTGTGTGAGTGAGAGAGGCTAGTCTCACATCTAAAGAAAAAAAGTTTGAAAAGATACAAATATGATAAATTCTTGTCATTGAGTTGCAGAGGTCTAAAAATGCTATATTCCTAATCTATTTTTCAGTATGTAAGTATGCTTGCCATAAGAAGTGCTGTCTGAAAACCACAGCTAAGTGCTCTAAAAAGGTAAGAAGTTATCATCTGTCCATAACAAACATGTCTGTAGGTCTTTTTCACCCATAGAAAGAAATCACAGCCTCTTTGCTGATTTATAGAATAAAGATTTTCAAACTTTTGGGCCAGAAATCACAGTAAAAAATATATTTTATGTCACGGTCCAGCTCACGTATGTACAGGTGTGTGTGTATATATATAACTGCATTGATTTTCCCAAAACTATTTTACCTTTACTGTAGGTAAGCTAATGGATTGATTTTACAAGCCACAATTTGAAAAACACTTTTTTTTAAACATTCCTAAGTCTTCCTAGGAATTGTCCTTCTTAAGGTAGTAGGCTACAATAAACGATGAATAAATTTAAACATAAATAGCATAGTGCACCAACCTAATTTGTGGTTTTACTTGTATCTACTTGATTACACAGAGATCTAAAACATACTGTACCTTATGCTTCAAGGAGACAACCTTTTTTAAAAAAAGTCCAGGACTTTATTGATTTATAAACATACAACTTTTTATTAATTACACACTAATTGTTATAATAATATGCAAATCTGAACTGTTACATAAATGTGTGTGCTTGTTGCATACAGTGTACAGAGTTGAGTGTTGCAGCAGATGGGCTGCTGTATTGGATTAGAGTAATGGAAAGACTTACACAGAAGGTTTTAGCTCAGAGATAATACCTGGCCTTTTTTCTTTTCTGTGAGTTACTTCAAATCACTCTGAGGATAAGCAGTTCTGTTGTAGTCGTATGAGCTACAGTTAATAAGGCCTAATGGTATTAATACTACTAGAGTAGATAAGGGAGTTTTAACACTAATTATGACCCAGTCTGTATTAGCCTTTTTTTGCCTTTGGTTATGAAATGGATTTTCAGTAAAGTTTGTCTTTGAAACATCAAAGCATTCTTATGCTTCAGGAATTACTGACAATTCTGATTCATATAAAATCAGTAGATTTTCTAATGGTACCTGCTAAGTGTTAAGCTGTTTGCATATGAAACCCAACCTCCTTCTCTCAAACCCCAGACTCGCCTTTGTATAGAGGGATTTTTGACAGGAAGAAAGTAGCATCCCATTACCACTGCCTCTCTTCACTACTTGTTTTCTTTTCTTTCTCTCTCTTTTTTTTTTTTTTGGTACTGGGAATTGAACTCAGGACCTTGTGCTTGCCAGGCAGGCGCTTATGCCACTGAGCCATATCCCCAGCCCCTTTTTAGTGTTTTGAGATGGTCTTGCTCTGTAGTTCAGGCTGGCCCTGCACTCACTGTGTAGCCAAGGCTGTCCTCAAACTTACAGTGGTGCCCCTGCCTCAGTGCTGGGATTACAGGCATACACCACCACACCCGGCTTCAATTTGTTTTCTTTGGGGAGTTCCTAGTAGGAAAGGATTAAAACTAGCGTTATAACCTATTTAACTGTAATTCCCGTTCCCCTGATACTATCTTCAAAAAACTTCAGGGAAATCAAAAGTAGTTTTCCTTAAAGAATTGGTGAAACCTGTGTAAAGGTGTTTAATGCATTTGAAAAGAAAAATTATCTTCCATTTAGTATGATCCAGAGCTGTCACCTCGACAATTTGGGGTTGAGCTCTCCCGTTTGACCAGCGAGGACCGAACTGTTCCTTTAGTAGTGGAAAAGCTCATAAACTACATTGAAATGCATGGACTTTATACTGAAGGTATTTACCGGAAGTCTGGCTCAACTAATAAAATCAAGGAGCTTCGACAAGGTCTAGATACAGGTAAGACAGTACCCTCCAAATCTACACCAGATACTTTTATTTACATAAGTAATTTCAGGCTCTTCAATTTTGTCATTATATATTTATGGATCCTTTACTTAAAACCAGAAGAATGGATAGTGTTTTCTGTAGTCCTCTCATTTTGCGTCTTTCTAAAGAATCTTTGGTTTTATGCTGATTAATTCAGTACACGTGTATCAAGTATGTCATTAACACAAGGCATTGATAGGTACTTGATAAACATCTCATTTAATCTTCCCAACATTCCACTAAGAGCCTGATACCTCTAATTTATGAAGAAGAAAAGTTTGGGACCAGGAATATTAAATAGCAAGTTGTTGATGACACAAGGCAGTGCTAAATGATTTTTTTTTAATAATCTGCAAACAATTCAGTGAATTAAGCATATTATTCACCCCATGTACCAATCAAGAGAACACTTAGAGAGGCTCTTGTCTAAAGATCAGTCACCAGTGTCTCCATGTTGGAATTTAATATCTGCTGAATCCATAGCTAACCTTATTGCGTGGTAGTCTGTATTTTTCTGACTTCAGATGTTGCTCTTTTCAGTGCCTCTTCCTGCTTTCCTGCATTACACAGTTTTAAACCAGTAGTAAGTTCAGCATTTGCCTCTGTAGAGCGCTACCCCATCCTGGAATGTATGCAAGGGGTTGACTCTGGTTTCATTCTCAACTTCTACTCAAGTCTGTTGCAGTTAGAAAAGAACAGTTCTTCTAAAAAAATTTTTATTAGTATATGTTTGTAGTATGTAATGATTATATTTACTTTGGGGAGTTGCTACATGTACATAATACATCTTAATTCTTTTTGGTTTTCATCTCCTCTCCCTCCCTTTCCTGTGTGCTCCTTGTAACTCTTGGTCCCTTGCCCATTTGTAAAAGTTTTATTTTCATTTTTTCCTCAATTATCTTTTTTTCCCATCGCCTTTCCCACTCTTTCCTTCCCCTTTCCTGTCTCTTGTTCTTTCCTTGTTCTCATCTTGTTCCTGTCTCTTGGTTTTACAATTGAAAAAGCTCCCTACTTCCTCTTTATCCATTTCTATTTTGCTCTTTATGTATATATATTTTTGAATTTTTTGTATAAGAGAGACCATATGATATTTAAAATTATGTGTCTGACTTATTTCACTTAAGGTCTTGAGGTGGGTGCATTCATTTACTAATGCCTCAGGTTTATCTTTCTTTATGGCAGGATAGTACTCCATTGTGTGTAAATACAGTATCACTCCATTGTTTGTAAATGTAGTACCTAGGCTTTTTCCAAGATTTAGCTTTTATGCGTTGTGCTGCTATAAACATAGGTATGCATGTATCCCTGTAGTATGATGACTTTTAACTCTTTAGCGACGACCCCCAGAAGAGGGATAGCTGGGTCAAATGGAACTTCTAGGTTTAGTTTTTTCAGGAATCTCTACGCTGATCTCCATAGTGTTGCATTAGTTAACATTCTCACCAATGATGTAGAAGGGTTCCTTTTTCCTCTGTAGTCTCACCAGCATTTGTTATTTGATTTCTTGATAAGAATAGTTCTTTTTGAACCAAACTTGGGTACAAAGCTTGTCTTTGGTGGCTAAGAACCTACCTACCCAAAGTACTGTTTCTTAGAAACAAATCAATGAGAAATTAATTGGTATGAGAGCAACAGAAAATCCCTGGTAAAACTCAAGCAGGATATTGTGCCTACCAGAGACTTGGTCTATTCCAGTTTGCAGGAAACTGTCGCTTTGTATTTTGTACCTTGGAGCAGCACAAATGAAAATCATTCATCATATGGATTCACCTAAGTCATCTAATCTATATAGTCTCAGGATATCTATCCATTCATCCAGTCACCTAATTTATGCAGTCTTAGGATGTTTATAAATGGAACAAGGTGAAGATGTTTGGTGCACAGTGTCTAAGCCCACTTATCACTCACTGCCTTGTCATCTCTGACCATGACTTAAAATCAGCCTTGCTTTTACCAAAGGGCTTGCCTTTTTCCTGCTGTCAGTCAACTAGACAGTACAAAAATTTAGAAAAATAATACAAGTTTGTCAGTTTGATTAAGAAACATGAAACTTCTTTTAGTGATAAGAGTTTCTAAAATCAGTTATTTCAATCTATTTGCATATTTTGGCCATGTTATTTACCTTCTGGCTCCAAATAGATGCTGAGAGTGTAAACCTAGATGACTACAACATTCACGTCATTGCAAGTGTATTCAAACAATGGCTTCGAGATTTGCCCAATCCACTCATGACCTTTGAACTGTATGAGGAATTTCTTCGAGCTATGGGTAAGCACAGGCTGCCTTACTTGTATTTGAGAAAGGAAGGCCGTGGGTTCAGTATTGATTGTGAAGCCTTTGTCTAGTGGTTTAGCCCTTCGACATCCAAATGTTAGCTTGTGATAGTCAGTACAAAACTGGCAGTACTGTTACATATTCAAATATTGACTTTTTAGACACTTAAAATGTCTTGTTCTAAAAGTTTGAGTGAGCCACTGGGTTGCTTCTCACAAAGAGATTGAAAAACTATGACTATAAAACACTGGAAGATTACATAAGATTTAAGAGTAGTCTAACATTAAATTCTGAAAGTGAGCAATAAAGCTGACTATTTTATGCCAGGCCCATCAGGTTTGGAGTGTGGCTTCTCAGTGTCGTGGGTGTGTAGGATCTTGATGATGGTCTACATAAAGATAATTAGGCCCCAAGGGTATATAAACTGTATGATGGTTAATTTTAGTGAGAAATCAAGTCTGCTGCAAAAATGGTTGAAACACTAGAGCACTAGAGCATCTCACTTTGTTGTAATTGAGGATTGCTGAAAGGTAGACCGAAACTCAGGACTCTTTCTGCTTCCAGTGAGGGTGTCAAGGTGTAACTGTGAGTTGAGTCACTCCCCCTCTGCTGTTCAGGCACAGATACCACTTCCAAAAGCTAAGAGCTGCTTCCGAATGTGTTCAGGAGGAGGAAGTAACATACAGGAGGGTTTTTTAGTCTGATTTGCTGCTTTTCCTATTTCTAGGCCTTCAGGAGAAGAAGGAGACGATCCGTGGGGTGTACTCTGTGATCGACCAGCTCTCCCGAACTCACCTCAATACACTTGAACGCCTCATCTTTCACCTTGTCAGGTAACTTCAGGAAGGACAGGAATGTTCAGTGACTTCTCTTGGATTATTTTTAAGTAGATGAAGTGCTTCTTCATTTGGAAGAATTTCATCAGTTGGAAAGCTGGCATATATTTGTTTTTTCTCTCCCTCCTCCCCCTCCTGTCATCTTCCTCATCATCATCCTCCTTGCCTTCTACAAGTCAGTACCTTGAACAAGTACTTAGGATTTGCTGGAGCTAGACTGTATGGCCCTGCTTCTTTGCCCTCATGTGAGCCATGTAGTGGCCCCACTCTCATGGTGGCACTGTGTAGCTTAGCCTTTCTAACTTCCTGACTAGAAAGGATACATATCTGTTGATGTAACCTTATTTGAGACGAGTGGGTTCAGATTGTGCTTAGAAATTGACTCACTGGAAGCTTTAGGAGTAGTCTGTCTTACCCTGTATATAAATATCGCAGCATTTGGCAAGAAAACCATCTTTCTCGTTGAATGTTTCATATGACTGAAAATGCCTTAAAGTTTCTAACCCCACATCTTTCAAATATGTTCATTGAGTGACAGTGGCCTTGAGGTGCTTCACAGAGGTGTTCACAGAGTTCCCTTGGCGAGCCCTCTGCTGGCCTAGACTGTTTCAAGGGACAGAGTGAACATACACTTTCCAGAGGCAGAACATTATCTCTGGGAAAAGTCTGCAGTGTCTCCTTTCAGCTCCTCTGGATATCTTCCTAGTAATGTGCAGTTAGCATCATACCATCTTCTCTCACCTTTTCTCTCTGCTATTTTCCCTTTTTATCCCCTTTTCACTCATTTTTGTTTTGTTTTATTTCTTAGGATTGCTCTACAGGAAGACACTAATCGAATGTCTGCTAATGCTTTGGCCATTGTGTTTGCACCATGCATTCTCCGCTGCCCTGACACAACCGACCCACTACAAAGTGTTCAGGACATCAGTAAGACCACCACGTAAGGCTACTCTTGCCTCTGCAGGACCTTCTGAGTTGGTGTAGTCACGGGTTCAAGTGTCTTTTCTTTAGGACAGCTCAGTTTGAAGTAAATTTTCTAATTCTCTTGCATCAAATTATAAAAGCTTTGTGTTTTCTCGTAATCTAGGCTAACTATGGGCTCACAGCTCTGAATCCCTTTGGTCGTAATACTTCAGTATTCCTATATTTCCTCTTGGCCTTTTTCATACTTTTCTTCCAAATCTTGACTGCAAAAGGAAATTTTTAAAATACTAATACTTCAATTTCATCCCTAGAATTTGATTTAATTGGTCTAGTATGTAGCCTGGCCTTTGGGATGTGTGACTGTTCCTCATATAGTTTCTAAAGTGCAGCCAAAGCTGTGAACCACTGTTCTAAGCCTTGTCTCAGAGATCATAAAATAAGGGATATTGATTTTTTTTCTTCATCCTTTTTCTACCACACTTAACTGAAAAACAATCTGTGCCTGTTACTCTTCTGCTCTTAAAAGTTTTTTTCCCTTCTATTTCAGCTGTGTGGAGCTGATTGTTGTGGAGCAAATGAATAAATACAAGGCTCGTCTCAAAGACATCAGTAGCCTGGAATTTGCTGAGAATAAGGCAAAGACCAGGCTGTCGCTGATTCGTAGATCAATGGTAAGACGCCAACATGGAACCACAGGGTAAAAATGGGATCGTTACTGAGACTTAAAATGTGTGTTTGAAATACACATAGGGGTTAACTTCAGGGTTACCTTCAGAAGGGAAAAAGAATCAGCAAATATCAGGATGATGTGGATACCTGATGTGTGATCTGCTAGCTCTTTTTAGTTATGTGTACACAATATTGGTGGTTAAATGTACAGAATTTTATAAATCATATATTTGGATAATGTTAGTGGCTTAATAATTAGCCTATTTACTTTTCCTGTCATTTTTATTAAAACTTAACCCTATCCTAACTTTTTTCTCTACTTTTTCTACCATACGTTGCAATTTTCAACTGTGGCATTTTGGTGGTTTTGCCAAGACTCATAGGAATAGTTTTACAACTGAATTTGATCATTTTATCAAATGAATAAAACATTTGATTCATAAGGAAATGGAATTCCATATATGAGTTTACTATTATAAGGATTTCTTCCAAGATTTATGTTTTTTTAGATGAGCTTCATAAATAATTCATTTACCCCTTTTATTTTTATTACTTTGCATTGTGTTCTGCGACCTATATATAAGTAGTTCCAGTTATCATTAATAATCAGTATCTGAGTAACTGGAAAACAGTGACTACATTAAAGTTTAGCTGTTGCCCATTTATTACCCTTTCTCTGAATTGTAAAATAAAATTGTAGTGATGAGCTCCTGCTTGAGATTCCCAGTAAATCTTTTAACCACAAGCAGCTTCCCCCATCAGCTTCCCCCATACTTTTCAGGCGTCCAGCAGTACTTCCTTGACACCTTCGTAGTTTGCACTTACAATGGCACTGTAATAATCCTGTTTCTTCCTTTACAATTTAAACTGCATGGCACAGAACAAGCACTCCACAAAGGTCTGTTGGTTAACTTAGTGGAAAGTCTTCTCTGAAAACAAATGTAAGCATAACCTTTTTTCAGGAGGAAAGGGAGTAAACTTCATCATAGGATATGATCTAAGACTCTTCCCCTGAAAATGAAAACACAAACCCTGTTTAGAAGTGAAACTTTCTGTAGTATGAGTTTTCAGAAGCTCAGTGCTTACAGGCCCAATTTAGTGCAGCCCATCTAGGAAGGAAGGGAAGAGCCTTTTACCATAAAGCGACTTTTCAAAGCAGATAGACAAGCGGTGCTTTTTGCCAGTGCTGCAGAGAGGGATGTATTCAGTCCACTGAAAGATTAAACCTCTTTTAATTGGGCAATAATATGTACATTCTAACCTTCTGCTTTCCTTTTCATGTCCTTCCTAATCCAGAAACCTGTACTAATTGCAGTTAGATTTATGAGCATAACCCGCAATTCGGTCTCGGTATGTATTAATATTGCAATGTGTCAAGCCACTTTTCATAATTGTCTCTCATTCATCCAGGAATTGGTCTGCTCTGTCTACCATTCATGCTTGTCCACCCTCCATGTTCAACCCCAGTTCAGGCCCCACGTTTTGACCAGCTTTCACTTGTTCTTCATCTCTTAATCTCTTCCTTTAGATCTTTATTTTCTTTTCTCTGTGTTGTGCAGTTGAACAATGTTCATTTGAAATAAAGCATTTTTCCTCTTTGTTAGATAAATCTCCTTTTGAGTTTCTTCACTGGTTGTCATTAAAAAATGAAAGAAGAAAACATTGAGGTGTCAAATTAATTGCCACTCTATCTGCTATGCTCCTAGCAGTCTCTTCTACTTTACTGTTTGAAATATTTCTTTAGCATCTCCCATCATTGACAGTGCTTATTTGCCCATTCATATCTGTGACTCTGTGGTATCTTCCCAGAGGCAGAAGTATAATCTATCTACTTAACATTTATCAAACAAAACAGCAAATAGGAATAAACAAATTGACAAGATTGCTTGTAGACTTAAGTATTGTAATGTAATAGCACTCATAACAGGATTTCATTGCTGGTGCCCCTCTTCAGTTTTACTGGTTATAAGAAAGAGTAACAGAGAGATGATAAGTTAATAACACCAACCTTTGGGCAAACTAATTTCAGAGACTATTCACCTAAGTGTACCGTTTCATCGAGAAGCCATGTTGGGATAGCAGTACACATTAGTTTTACTTTACTACTTCTCTACTGTGTCATACCTCCTTTTCCGACTGACTCATCTCAACAGTATCTTGTCACTGTTTGGTAATTCATAAACGCTTCATTCTCATTTCAGTCTTTAAGACTCAATTCTCTTGATAATAAAACTCCATCACAGGCTTGATCCAGTGCTTGTCTAGCTTCCTTGCAGACAGAGTAGACCCCAATGTGGGGCTAAAAACTTTAGGGTCAAGAGTTGGTTTTGGGTTGACTCATACTTTGCCCTTCCTCTTCCTTGATTTCTTCTAGCCTCCAGTTCGTGATGGTAGTCCTCCTCCTTGGTGGTTCATCACTACTGTTCTGGACCATTGTTAGTAGGCTAAGTGAAAATAACTAGTGGCTCCTGTTCTCCCCACTGAGAGTGAGCAATCTTGCCTCATTTCTGTAGAGATTACTAGTCCCCTTTAAGACTTGCTTGCATCTTCTGGTCAGAACCCTGGCTGATGGTATTGGCACCTTTTGGGAAGCTTTCAGACTCTCAGAGAAGTTAGATTTTTCAAAACACTGTTATTTATTTGAAAGCTTGAAATTTCATCACTGACAGCAGTAATTTATTTCATTTGAAATAACAGGTTCCCTTTCTCCCTTGTCTAAGAAAATGTGTGCCACATGCCCAAGTCTGAATAATAATACCTTGTCATTATTCAAAGTAAGATTTCAGGTACAAGGCAGCTAATTCAGCTGGCAAGTCAGGCATTTTCACAAATATTCTTTCTTAAGTAACAGTTACAGTAGAGGTGCTTTGTGCATACTTCCTGTTTTGTCATATGAAAAATAAAAAATAGTGAACTCAGCAGTTAATAGACTTGGATTTTACTGCTTGACTGGCAACACACCATGAAACTGACCTTGTTATAAATTGTGAATGCATTTGTAGTAAAGAATATGGTAACTACTAAAACAGTTCGACACTATTGCCTTGATTCTTCTACAGTTGTCAGCAGGTTTTTTTAAAAAATCCACAAGTACCTGTACCTAATTAGTGAAGATGTCAATAAATGGTAAGGTAAATAGTACCTTATTATCATGAAAATACTTGGCACTTTTAGATCCTCTGAAATAGGCTTTGGGACACCACTACTGTCTCACATCCCATCAGCAATTCATGGAACCAGAACACCACAGTACATCCAATACTACTGGATCACTGCACTACACAGAAACGTTTAGTGAGGATACACTCCAACACATACCAGCTACCTTTAAAGTGCTTTACTAATTCACTGTCTAGTCAGCCATAACCACAAGCACTGGAATATTTTCCTTGAGCGAGCTTGAATGCCTAATTATATAATACATACAAAACAACCAGTCTTCTTCAGAAACCTTGGATAAGAACCCTTCCTAAAAAAGAAAAGAAAAGAACCTTTCCTTACTAGGAAAGCAGACTTTTCAGGAAGTAGTCTGATAATTCAGGTTCTTACTTTGTTCTTGTGATTTAACAAAAAGTACTCGATGGGTTCTCTATCTTGACTGTTTTGGCTAAACTTCTTTTGATTTTTTGAGACCAATCCTCATTGTGAAGTCCATGCTGGCCTTGAACTCACTACGTAGCCCAAGCTAGCTTTGAACTGATGGAGATTCTCCTGCTTCAGTCTCCGAAGTGCTGGGATTACAGGCAGGCAACATCACACCCAGCCTTTGGCTAAAATTTGTTTTTAGGATTCTGAGATTTGTTCTTGAACTACTTATATACAGTTCTATCTGTATGGCATAGTTCCTCCTCCTTATACTAGTACATCCAACCCATGCACAAACCCCAGTTACATGTGCTTTCTTTGGATCTTCATAAAGTATCCACCTGACTCCTCTTGGGAGTAATAAGCTGCCTTTTCCTGCATAGTCATCAAATGTGTTACAGTGAAACAGTCCACTTCATCACTGTCATGTGTCTAATTTCATTAGTCCTCATATTTAGGCTTACTTTGATTCACAGAATATAAAACTTCTTTTTGCCCCAATCATGTCCTGCTTTTCCTCCCTACATCCTCTTTGCATTAAGATGTTTAGAGCATATTTAGAAACAATCAGAACTCTCCATGGGCCTTAGCCCTTTTAACACTATAGTGTATCTTCCACTCAAGCCTTAGGAGAAAATGAAAACAGTAGCTCCAGCTGAGATCCCCCACATTAAAATGTTTGACCCCTTGTCTTTTTGTTACAGTCTGTGCACAGACCTCACAAAATTCTCACCCAAATCTAACAGTTAAAGCTCTGTTTCAGAAGATCATTCCTACAAAAGAGTGGGCAATAAAATTATACATGGGCTTCTTTAGATAAGGGATTGCCAGTGTGGATGATTAGGTGACTGACTTCATGGGTATAAGAAAACATGTACCAAAGAGGGAAGGAGAAATGGATGACTGTTCTGTGTACTGAGTATGCTGAGAATACTGAGAAGGGAGTACTTCATCCTGCATAGAAATGCTGGAAAGGCTGTAAAGGGGATGAGTTTGAACTAATCAGATGGAGACAGTCCTATTATATAGTATAAAAGGCCTAATTGTAGAAAAAACCTGTAGCCCATAACTGCTAACAACTTTGATAGGTAATTGTACAGAAGGGAGACGTTAAAGTAAAACCAAAATAGGATCTGTTCTAGAGCACACTGAGACCTTAGCACCTTTTGTGGTCCTGATGGGTAAGCCAGGCCTCACAAAGTCTCTTTCTGTAGATCAGTTAGCACTTAATTTAAACTTTAATGCTTTATATCTTATTTTTGTATTTATGATAAGGAATGGGAGCTTATGTTACTATAAAATAAACTGTGACTATAAATAAATAAATTCAACTACAAAATAAAAATTTCCTTCTGGGTCTCCTTCAAGGTTCTTAATAAGGTGCAGGGTGAACTGTTGGGGTGAGGTGGGACTTGGATTTTCATCCAGAGAATTCATTTGTAAGGAAATACCAGAAAAAGATTGTTCAAGATGAGTCTGCAGTGAATGGTTAATGCTTAGGCTGATATCCAGATACCTGCACTTCTGTAGCCACAGAGAGAATTGTGCACTTTAAGACTGCATGTGGCATATTCTCAGTAGGCCACCACACTCTAATATTAGTGATGCCTTGCCCTCTTAACTGGAGTTTTATTATTTTGACTGCATTTATCTTAACTGCATTATTATCTTAACTGCATTTATAAGTTTTATATTATCTATAGAATATTTCTAACAAAAATTAAAATAAGACGTTGGAGAATCAGGCCACAAGAAAAGTAAAAATTTTCAAGGACAAAGAAAATCTAAACCAAAATTGAGTAACCGAAAACATTACAATAAAAACACTACAAATACCAGTCTTGGTAGTCAGAGAAATTTTTATTGTCTATAAACTTATAAATAAGACAAAGGAAAATAAACATTAAATCAGGATATTAACAAAATAAATTTAAGGAGATCAGTCAGAAATAGTGAAGTAAAAGGAAGGCATAAATTAGAATACAACAAAAACAGTGAAACTAATAAATAAAAATTTGTTCTTTGAAAAATCATTGGCTCAGAAAAAATGGGGCAAGTACAAATTCACAGATAAATAAATTATTATCAGTAACAGTAAAAACATATAAAAGATTGTTATATTATTGTTATCTATTGTTGTATAACAAATTATGTCAAAATGTAATGGTGCTAGAGGAGTCCTTTCAGCATGGCTTTTTTGTGTTGTTTTGTTCATGCTTGCTGTTGTGGGGCATCTTGGGGCCTTGCCATATTGACTACACAAGGACATAAATTCCAAGAGGTGAGGATGATCAGGTACTGTCTTGGAGAATGGCTACTGCAGTTTAGTTTGTCTCTGAAAATGTAAAATTTTATGGAATGGAAACTGATTACCAAAGAAGAGATAGGAAAGTCATCTGAGAGATTCCTCTCATGTAAACCACAGACATAAACAGTTTCATAGAGGAATATTACCCAGTTTTTTGAAGACGTAATTACCGGTTTAGCTGTTCCAGACCACAGAGATAAAAGATACTTTTTATGAAAAGAGTATAACATTAAACTCATACGTACACCCCCCCAAAAGAAAATCTAATAAAAATTGCATGCAAAACTATTAAAGGTAGCAGAGCACATGGACTCTGCACTAGCAGTAGTTTACTTAGCTCTAGTTTACTAGCTGTTAAAACATGAACAAGTCATTTAATCTCCCAGGCCCCAGTTTTCTCATCTATAAATTGGTTAGTAGTACCAAACTCAAAAGATGAAATTATTTAATATAGGGG